AAACTCACCTCCCATCAAAACGCTGGCGCCGAGCGTGCTCAGAGCTTCGACAACAAGTTCATTAGCTGTGTCCTTGTCTGACATCACGTACGCATGTGCAATATGAGCGCTGTAGTCAACCGCGAATCCTATGGCCATGACAAGATTGATCATGGATACAGAGTTCAGAGATACGCCCCAGATCACCATCAATCCAAACAGCTCACATATCAGGGCAGCAAAGTTTAGCACTACTAGGAGCGTAACAGTACAGTCCACTAGAAAGGGGCTTGTAACAATCAGTACAGCTAAGGCCGCGATTAAAAGGTTCCTTACGGTTTCCCTTGACGTGATTGCGTACTGCTCAAAGAAAATGAAGGGTCGAGCGATGGGGAATGCTGCAAGGTTTTTCAATGTACCTGTTTGGAGATCTCCTCGAAGCGTTAGCATGGCATTTTTCTGAAAAGAAGAGCTGGTCGAGGTTTTCATGAAACCCATAATTCGAGAGACTTCGACACTTTTATTGTCTAAGGAAAACTTCACGTCTTGTTTAAAATTTGAATATATATTAAGAAACGACAACAACTCTGGCGTAAAGTTTGACCCGAGGATATTTTTATTCGTGTGCAGGGCATACTGGGAAAACACTTCAATCCAGAACAAAGTTCTGTTTTCATAATACTTGTTAGAGGTCACAATTTTGGACAGACTTCTCAATTCTTCCTGGACAGATCTTTTTCCATAATCGATGTTTCCAGTCTCGACAATACTCACAGGAATGGACAGCTCAAAGTACTCTTCCTGAGTAGATAAAAATTTCTTGAGGTAAGAATCATCCTTGGCCAAAATTCTTCTGTCAAAACTTTCATCCACCTTCGTAACACCATATATCCCGGTCGCTAGAAAGCACCAGGAGAAGATTATTACAAAGACTTTGACCGCGGGTTGAGGTAAGAAATCGGGCCCAGGCTTCCATAAGTTTGTTAGAGGTTTGAAGACGAGGCTCGTCCCAGGCCGGGGCGTTTTCCCTTGGCGGTGTTGCGCGGCAGAACGGTAAACAGTCCCGTCGACCTGCTTTAAACCTTTTTACGTCGTATGACATGATGGCCACAAAATATGTGACAATCATTAAGTATGAAAAGGTCACAGTTAAGGCAGCATACACGCAAAAATACCTAAAAAATAAGCAAACAAGCAAACAGGAGGTCTTAATGAGCCATTTGCCTTGTCCTTTTTATGGTAAATGCCTAGGGTAAACACAATGTATGATGCATCATGTCTCACCAAAAAGACTTGTTTCACACCTGCATTTGTAGAATTTCTTCGTTTTGAATTCAGAGGAATTTGATCCCCAACTTTCATTTATAAGGACTAAGAGTGCAGTGCCGACCAACATTAGGTGTTTGTTGCTTTTCTACTTAAGCACTGAAAATCTCTCGGAGTAGTGCATGGCAATCACTGCGAGATCAGAGAATCGCTCTTCAGACAATGTTGATCTAGAGCTAGGCTTTACGGCCGGTGGCTTGCAGGGAGAAAACTCTGCCCAGAATCACAAACAATTCCCACAATCCATAAACACTACCCAGAACCCCCAAAACACGCCCCAGTGATTCCAAATCATGTCTCAGCATCCAAATTCTGGGGTGTGTTTTGGATTCTGTGAAAGGTTTTTGGATTCTAGGAAGTGTTTGAGATTCTGGAAAGTGTTTTGTCCCATCAGTATTAAACGACCATTCAACTTTTGCGTGGTGGGCATTCTGGCCGCCATCCTGGATTTTACCAAGAATTAGAAATCAGGTTAAAACCATGAGAAATAGTAATTTTTCGTGCTTAACACATAAATAATCACGTTGCATCATTTTAGTCGCAAAATTTACTTTTATTGTGGAAAGAAGTAAGAAAAAAAAACATGTATTTTCACTCAAAAATGGCTTGAACACCCGCTACTAATGACGTCATATCTCGTACCTATAGAAACTTTCCATCATTAAACCGATCTGAAAATGCGCGAGGGATAAACGAACAGCTGCTGAAAACGTCAGGTACTGATGTTTTATCGTCTAGGAAAAAGTCAGAAAAACCTCAGAGGGTTAACACTGGCTTAATATAATTCGGAATTTGTAGCGTATAAATTGCTGTTCTTTTACGACAAGTGTATAAAGTAGAATTCAGTAACTTTTTTTCCTCCCAAATCGCTTCCGCCCCCTAAGCAATTTTGACACTCATGCAAGATGGCAGCCCGTAACACAAAGCGCTCGATCTCGATGATCTTACGGGAAAATAGAGGACTGTGAACAGTATAGTTTCTTAGATAATAGGGCCGGAGTACATAGAGCTTGTACTATTTTTCAGCGTATACATTATTGTGGCTAATTGCCTTGTCCTTCGTATCTTAAGAATATCGCACCCAATTTCATCCAGTTTCTCAACTGATCGTCTATCGTAACTAGAGGAGGTCACCACCCTGGCAGCTCTGTTTTGGAGGGTCTGGAGTTTGTTACGCATCCCTTCCCCACAGCTCCCCCACACTCTACTACAATAATCAAAATACGGTAGTACAGTGGAGTTCAACTCGTATAGAGATCTTAGCCCCAAGCAAATCTACAGGATTCAAGGAAATGAAAAGAAGCGAAAATACAACTCTCGCGTCACAGAAATAGAGCAAGGCACATTCACCCCACTGGTATTTACAACGACGGGAGGGATGGCTGAAGAATGCCTGAGATACCACTCAAGATTAGCCGAGCTATTAACTGCAAAATAGCACGAGAGCTACGCCACAACAATTTCACGTGTCAGGGCGAAAGTGTCCTTTGCAATTTTGCAGAGCGCGCTCCTATGCCTAATTATAACGGGATCGAGAACCTCCGAGAAGGAGGAACTTAGATGGTAAGGACAGGGATCGAGAAGCAGAGAAGGGTCAAGGAGGACTTCCCTAGACTCAACAGCTATAGATGTTTTATTAATTGTCTCTATTTTATTTTATTTTCTTTAAACATTTGAAAGAAACGTTTGAATTTTAGAGGCCGACTGTTTTTTTATTGAAATGAAATGTTTTTAATTCCAATTTTAAATCGACAGGAATTGTAAATGGTGTTTTGAACGAATAGTTTTTCTTCTTTTTTTCAAGAGAATTAATTGTAAATAGGATTTTAATAGTTAGCATGTTGTCAAGAAAATTTTTTTCCAAAAAAAAAAAAAGAGTTCAACTCCATTGTACTACCGTATTTTGATTATTGCAGTAGTTTAATGTATAATAAGATATGAGATGCCTTACACGTCTCAAAATTCTCTCCAAGTTAATTATTGATCTATTTCAACACCAAGACGTCTCATCCCTAGTAAGGGATTTGTGATCGACAGGAAACTGTCCTTTTGTAAATATTTTTCAATAATGTTGTTTACATGATTGTAAAGCGCCTTGAACATAGGATAAGAGCGCTATAGAAATAAAGTTATTATTATTATTATTAAAGTTGTGCTCAAGGTGTTTTATTATCCGATATTGACTAGCTACAATCATATATTTTGTCTTTATCAGGTTAAGGCTAAGTTTATTTGTTATTATTATATAGACACGAGTGTTTTACTGGAAAATATACCACTCGTAAATTTCATAAAAACAACATCCGGGACCCGAGTGGTTTATTTTCCATAATCTCACGCGTGAGTTTATCGATGGCGTAATTTTGGTAATTTCCCTCTATTATTTTATCGATGTCATTTTGTCTACATAATAAAAAGAATATTACACGGCGGCTTGAAGATATGAATTTTATTTTCTCGTGGCAAAAACAATATTTTACTCACTCGCTGCGCTCGTTCGTAAAATATTGTTTTGCAACTCGAAAATAAAAATTCATATCTTCGCGCCACCGTGTAATATCCTCTATTTAAAAATTTATATATTTCATGTAGACCATGATTCATTTGATGCTCTAGGATGTACTCATATGAATTTGCAACATCTTCATACATCGGCACTTTAGAGTAGAGGTTACAAGATGGAAGACCATTTATATAAACAATTAATATTAAGATAGCGGATCATCTCACACAGAGTTTGCATGTTTTGGTGTCAACGAAACTACTCGAGTGAGATCGGCAAAATAATAAATACTAAAACGCTGGTTAACAAACCCAAACCGGAACTTAAACTGACTAATGAACCAAGGCCCAGCTCTAACACTCACGACCACTTGTGAAAAACTCTCATCTGACAAGGACAAGCGAAGAATATTCCAAAAATGGAATTATAATTAAAATAATGTACATTCGTGATCTAGCATAAATTCAAGCACTAGTAAAAAAATAAGACCACAACAGGAAACTGTCCTAGACCCACCGTAATGAAACCAACCCCACGATTAACTGAAGATGAGACAGATCTTAAAAATAACCTTCACAACAAAGTTGTTTATGGTATGCAGTACCATAATCAGTAATTAAATGCCTTATATCCCTTTAAGTTGATGGTTAGCTTTTGCATTGAGCACGACAACGAGTTCAAAATAACCGTAAAGGCTTAGCAAAACATAGCACAAGAGAAAGAACTCAAATATTTTCAGTGGTCTCTTTCTGAAAATATATGAAATATGAAAATACAATATATTTTAAACTGACTGGGCGGGCAATTTTTAATGATTTCTACAACATATTAAACAATTTTGCGCCGACTTTTTGTCATCACAAATTCGTCGCCCGGTAAGTTAACTGTTACAAAAGCTGAGAAACCTGATAGCAAAATGAAAAGAAATACATGTTTAGACCGGTTTTAATAATATTCTTACGCAAAAAGGAAAGGTTTGCTTTTCTTTCAATGACAGGTGCTGAATATTTCAGAGGATTTCCCATCCCTTAAGTTGCTTCCTTTAATAAGAACACCACGGTTTTGAAATTACACCGTTTTTAATTAGTTTGCTTTATTGGTAGAAAGGCCTGTCGCTCTTCGTTTAACATTCTGTGACCATCTATCATGTCCATTCGTTTATACTAAACAGGTGTTTAAGATCAAAAAAAAATTTTTAATCTCAAAGAGACAAGAAAGTTCTATCGATCAAACCGGTACCAAACAGCGTATTTTCAAGGTTAAAGTACTGAAAATGGAGTTATGGTTTTGGATTCTTGGTTGGATTCTGTCTATCCTAACGATCGCTGGAAATGGTTTCATTATTTTCCTTGTGTGCAAAAAAAGGCAGCTCCGCACCAAAACCAACGCCTTCATTGTCTCACTTGCAGTGGCGGATTTCTGTGTTGGAGTGAGCGTCGTTCCTTCCTTCTTCATTTGCGACATTACAGGAGGCTGCGATTGGTCTACAGGATACCATCCTTTATGGACACTTGGTATAAGATGGTTGTTTGGTTACGCATCTGTGATGAATTTGTCTAGTTTAGTACTCGAACGCTACATCGCCATTGTGAAACCTTTAAAATATCTAATTGCTATGACCAGATGTCGAGTTGTTAAAATGTTAATCTTTTCGTGGACAATCCCTATAATTTTTGTTGTAGGTCGGCTATTAATTTTGTCAAGAATTTCAGCTATGTTGTTTTTCAGTATTTTTACTATTTTGGTTGAGTTTTTCTCATGTTCTATATTAACTTTCTGCACCGCTTCGATAATACGTGTTGTTTATAAGCAAGATAGAGCAGCACCTACCTTAGGAAAAGTGAGTCGCTTTAGCCAACATCGTGACACGTCTGCGATTGTAATGATGACAATTGTTGTAGTTGTGTTTCTTATTTGTTACGGCGTATATTTTCGCTGTAGTTTTGCAGTACTTTTTCTTAACATAACCTGTAATGATTTCAGTTATAAAATACCTCTGTTCATTTTAAACTCTGCCATCAACCCTTGGGCGTATGCTCTATTCAAGAGGGACATAAGAGCGATGATCAAAAGACTGATCTGTAGGGCAACTTATAGTCACAGTGTAACTCCTTTTATTTTAACCAATCGTTCTGCCGTAGGAACCACGACTTTGTAAAAATACGTCCGCTTCGCTCATATGAAGCCAATGCGAGTTAAAATGACATTATTATTGCTTTTGAATAAATGAGAATTGTTCTTAGCAAGGCGAATGAAAATCATGAAGGGCAAGCAGGCAAAACTATTATCCATTTAATGATACAGAGATGAGATGGGAAGTTTAAGAAGGGAAGACCTTTATTGCAGCTGGCTGTACACACGGATAGCTGGACCTTGTGGTTTTTCGAATGAAAAGCGAGTTTGGGTAATGTATCTTAAACGTAGTCTACTATTATCAGGACAAGGGTGAGGACTTGAAGATCGAAGTTATCAATAATTTCGTCCTATATTACAATCAAAACATTAAAAACGTGATCTAAATATCTAGTGGGATAATTTTTATTATTGTATTAATATTTGTAAATGTTGCAAAACATTGTTTGCTTTGTATGAACTTCAGCTGTATCATTCCCGCGGTTCCCAGGTCTCCTAGGCCCTTACGGCCAAGTGATCTAGCCTTAGAAAGTGCGAGGCCAGGGCCCAGATGTTCGAAGGCCGATTAGCGCTAACCCTGGGTTCCAGAGGCTTTTCATGCGCGGTTCCGGTTTCGGTTAAGTCTTAAGGTGTTGTGTCAGCCTGCGGCCGACGAATCTCCTCGTAGCACTTGAGAAAAAAACCCCTGATACCCAGGGTACGGTTACCCTGGGTTAAATTCTAATCCGGGTTTCTTTCTCTCTCTCTCTTTTTCTTTTTCATCTAATTATCAAACGGTGGACAAAACGAATTACACTGAATTTTCTTTTCATGCTTTCACATCTGAATTCAAATATTTCACTAACCCTGGGTTACCTTAACCAAGAGCCATAATGCCTCTTGCCTTAACTTACTAGCTTTGAACAACCCGGCCCAGAACAACTGTTACTGACACCGGGACAACATTGCTGGTAAAGCTTAAAATATATTGAGTCGCATATAAAAAATGGAACGTACAGAAGGTACATTTGGAGAGACAAATTAACGGTTAGAACACCGCAGATCCTATTGCTGGTTTTCACTGTCACGCCATCGAAAAAACTGTTCAATAGATGATGTCCATAATCTTGGAAATGATAGACGGAACATAAGCAAAGATCCTCGCCAAGACTCAGGTCGGTGTAATTTTTCGCATATGCGCGATGTTCGGAGAAATATTACCTCGATTTTTTAAGCTTTGTATGGAGACACCATGTTGGTGCCCATCTGGATGGGCACCAACAGAAAACATCTGTTATCGAATTTTACTACAAAAGCGTAAATTCATCTCTTAAAAAACTAAAAACCATTAAAGTAATACTTTTCCTAATACAAGGCTGTTAAGATGGCAAAGTCCCCAAAATATGTCTCACTTTCTTAACTTACTGGACAGACGTAAATGACGCGTCACACAAAAAGTTAGAAATTAATTCAAGCGTACTCTATCACAAAAGGAAGAACCCTTCCGAAATGAGAATTTGTAAACAAAAAAACAAAAAAAAGAAAAAAAAAAGCTCCTAGCTGCTCTAATACTTCACAAAAGTAAAAACCTCAGGAGGATGGATAATTTCCGCTTTATTTTTTCCATATCTTGTGACGTCATGAGAAAACCCAGAATAAACTATCCCACTTGCTCCGCAATGGCAAAGTGTCACCATCACGTAGACTGCAAGCAATGTAATTTCTTTTCTCCTACTCCCGTTTAATTCACTACATTTCAGTTACGAGATCCCTAAATCAAAAGCGTTCACCACCTTAATTCGTTCTAATCAGCTCTTGGAAAATCGAACAAAACAGCATTTTCGAATTCGCAGTCCAAGTGCCCCCCACATTCCCTGGCTCACCATACATTAAATTTAGTTTTTTTTGGAGCTTATTTTAACGGCCCGGAAAGAGAACGCAAAGACAGTGTTGTTCATTAACTCTGCTTTTTTTTAGTTTAATTCAAAGTCTTTCCATGTAAATCACAAGTTGCTAAAAATGTTTAGTTTTCAGCAACCACCAAAACGAAAGAGATCTGAACAATGTATTAGTTGCAACTATCGAGTCCGATCTAAGCTTTCTGTATTTACAAGTGACGTTTATGAGACTGGCCGTTTCATCGGAACGCTACGATTGCCAGGATAATTGAACATTCCGGACACTAAGAATTAATTTTTTGACTATCTCAGGTACTATAAACTAAATTCCATCAAAAGTTACTCCTGTTAATGAGTAACAGCGATCTTGCAAGTAAAGGCAATGTTACACGGGATGATCCGCGCGACAATTTTCAGCGCAACACGTCGCTGAAACATTGTTGCTATATTACTTCGAACTGTCACAACATTGTTCTAACATTGTTGCCATATTAAAAATTCGTTGTCGCATATCGACTCTACTACTAGGTGCACTACAAGGTGCTGTAAACGCTAAATCACGAGCGTGAAACTGTCATGTAGTTATTAGGCTTAATTTACAAACTAATTATATGATCTAGCTTGTTGAGAAACATAACTAGGAAAAGTTGCGAAATAATTTCGCAACGGCTACGTGGTACTGACTTCGACCACTTGAAGAGAAGCTGACTTAGCCATAGTATCCTGTGTTTGTAATTTAATTCACAGAGACTCCTCCAAAAGACTGATGCTACCCATAATTCATTTCCATATTATTTATATTATATTATATAACATCTATGTTTGTATGTTTATACTACACTACTATTCATACTAGTTCTAAGCCGGGCTACTAATCTAAAATTTTGTTGAGTCATCCGATGCAATGTTTTGCTCATTTAACGTAAGGGGAGTATCTTGTTCGGCATATCTCTTCGAATTTGAATTTCCGCCCTCTTCTTGTCCATGTTCGCTAGCTTGTATTGTAAGGAAACGCTCTCTTCCACTTTCTTCAGCGTTGGATTTCTGCGGAACCTCTGTAGGATCGTTCCTTTCAACTTCAATGTCCTCCTTTTCCATGTCATGTACTTCATTGTGGACTTTACTCTCATTGTTTTCTTGGTGTGTCTGCTTAACTACAACGGTTCTGTCCAAAGGCCGAGACTGGTCGTTCAGTTCAAAACCCTCATTCGATGAGGCACTCCTCAAATCACCCTCTGTGGTTGCCTTTATGGCCCCTTCATCCCCACCGTGTTGTTCGTTCATCATATAATCAGTGGCATCGTCTTTAGATCGGTAGTAATCATCAGTGCTTTCGTTCAAAGGCCGCTGCTCGTGCAGTTCAAAGCCCTCATTCGAAGAGGCACTTCTCAAATCACCATCTGTACTCACTTTTTCATTTCTTCCTTTGCCGTCGAGTTGTAATCTATCAACGACAGCGTCATTTTCAGAATGGTACTCGTCGCTCACGTGAACAGCCGAGATAGGCTTCGTTATAGCAGATTTGCAGTCGAATAAAGAGAGATATACTGGTAGTATGCACAGTCCGTGAAGAAGGCCGAACACGACGATACCAAGGAACATTTTAAAAAATATCCGGAAAATCTCGGAAGCGGCAAAGGCCAGAACTACCATGCCAAGAAAAGTACTAAAACCTGAAAGGAATTAGAATGAATGATTAAAAAAATGATGAATGAATAATACCATGAATAAAATGATGAATGAAAAGAATGAATGAATGGACGAACGAACGAAAGAACGAATGAATGGATGGATGGATGGATGGATGCCCGAATGAACGAATGAAATGATGAATGAAGGACATGAAGTGAACGAAATGATAATGATAAGATCAGCCAAGAGCCTAGCAAGAGTTTGTGAGCACGGTTAATTTCGCTCATGTGAAAAGAAATCTAAAAGTATACTTCAGTCTAAAACACAGTCTAAGCATTGGACGGAAGTTCCGGGTGATGGGCCTTTGATAAATAATAAAGCGAAAAGAATTCAGCTAGTATCATTTTGGCACTGGTGATATTGTCTCCCTATTAAAATTATTTCAATTGTTAAAACTGCTCATAGAAATTCTGCTGTCAAAGCTGACTATTTTCACAATGTAGTGCACGATTTTGGCAAAAAGGTATCACGCTGAAATCCATCCAGGGATCCGGAGAGGAAGTTTGACAACAGGGACTACCGACTAAACGCCAAGTGCGCGAGTCGTAAACGTTCCGTCCAAGTTGCATTTTGCTTGGCTAAGACAGAAATTAAAAAAAGGAAAAATGTTTTAGGTATTCCTGCATGAATGCAAAACACACAACCCCACACTGACAACACACAAAGGAAAACAAGAAAATTTTTTTGTTCTTTTCAAAGGAAGAGTCGGTTCCCCTAAAAGCATTCAAGCCCTTTCCCCTTTCGGCACGCGCGTACTGGCGACTTTCTCGCTTATTCAACAAGCGAGCCTGTACAAACTAAGCTCGAAATCTGGGCCAAGAGAAAAAAACGTTAGGAAAGGGGGCGCTATTTATCGTTTAGATAGATAGATAGATAATCTTTATTTATCCACGGGACAAAATTCGTCAGCTTTAAAAATGCCTAATACTAATATAATAAAAGAACAAAATTAAATAATTAAGCTGCTTTCCACGAATGCCGTGCCTTACAGTTCTTTGAGTATTCGTTTAAATTGCCCAAGGGACTCTGCTTCCCTTAAGTTACAAGGAAGACTGTTCCAGAGAATGGCGCCACTATAGCTGAAGCTGTTTTTGTAATAGTTTGTGCGCGGTAATGGAACATTGAGTTTATTTTCAGAGTCCCTTAGGTTATATGCGACTTCTTGCCTTTCAAATTTAGAACTAAGATAGTTTGAAGCCAACCCTTGCAGAGACCTGTAAACCATCGTAGCTCTTTGAAATTATTGCTGGCAAGCTAGGTTTTTCCACTCTAGAAGTTTGAAAAGGTGACCAGCATCTACGTCATAGCTTGAGTAGGTCAGAACACGAGCTGCTCTGTTTTGTAGCTTTTGAACCTTATTCCGTAAGGTTATCCCACAGTTTCCCCAAACAATGTTGCAATAATCAAAGTGTGGCTGTATTAAAGCTTGATATATTAGTTGTAAGGTCGCCTGAGGGACAATATACACTTAATGTCTGATCCCGAGGGAAACAGTTAGTTTTGTTTTCCCAAGAGTCCTGATGTTTCCCGAGACGAAGTCCAGGGAAACATCAGGACTCGAGGGAAAACAAAACTAACTGGTTTCCCGAGGGACCTGACGTTAAGTGTTTTGTTATATTTCTAGACTTTCACTTCAACGGCAACAAAAGAATAACCGGAGTGAACCAAAACAGTCGACTCGGTACTTATAACAACACAAATTTTAATTCTCAAAACCACTGAATGAATGATTTACAAACAAAAGTACTTTCCTCATATTATCTGCATCTTTTTCCTCCACTAGCTGCTGTTTTTCTTCTAGGAACTTCTGGGATAATTTTAAAAATCGTTGCTTTTTAGCTTGAGGCTTCGTGTTTGTGTTGTTGTGTTCATTCACGAAAAAGAAAACCGGCAGGACCTGGCGGTGTTTTTCCCGCCTTCTGTCACACCACTTTCCACCATGCTTTAATCACGTGCTGCAATGTATCCCGAGCGGGATACATTGTTTAATGTATCACGATCGGGATACATTTGATTTTAGTCAAGGCCACGTGACCAAGAATCAACCAATGGCAGTCCCTGTTTAGTTGAGTGAAAGTCTAGGAATATAACAAGGTGCCTTATTCGTTTTATGGCCCCAATACCAGAAGCGACTTTCTTTGTTACTTTCTCGATATGGCCACTCCAATCAAGTCTGTCATCGATGGTCACTCCAAGTGATTTTGCAGTAGTGACCTGGCTAACTTGAAAATCATTAATTGCAAATGTCGGGGACTCTGTGAGAGTACTTAGCCTCTGCGTAGATCCGATAAGCATAAATTCGGTTTTAGTCATATTTAGAGTAAGTTTGTTTGCTCTCAGCCAATTGTGAACATTTTCTAAATCTTGATTTAGATTCAACTGAATATTGTCTGCATTATCACCTGCGTATGTAAGGTGGGTGTCATCAGCGTACATCCTCGGCTCACAATTTGAAAGACAGTTTGGAAGATCGTTGATGTATAACAGAAATAGTAATGGACCTAAAATCGTCCCCTGGGGAACACCACAACTTAATAAACAGCTTTGAGAGAGTGATCCATTGATGGAGCACATTTGAGTACGATTCTCTAAATATGACTTAAACCATTGGTGCACTGTACCATATATGCCGTAATTGCTTAATTTTGATAAAAGGATCTCATGGTCAACTGTGTCGAAGGCCTTTTTGAGATCTAAGAAAACAACGGCGTTGATTTTACCGCGGTCAATATTGTACGCCCACGTGTCCGTGGCCTCAAGAAGAGCCGTGACAGTTGAGTGAATAGCGCGAAAGCCTGATTGATATTTACAGATTATATTATGCTCTTCTAGGTAGGCATATAATTGATCATAGACGATTCTTTCAAAAACCTTGGCCATAACTGAGATCACCGAAATTGGACGATAATTATTTAAGTCGTTCCGATCGCCTTGTTTAAAAAGTGGGGCGACCTTTGCGCATTTCCAGTCATCCGGAAATATGCCTTGACTTATTGACTGGTTAAAAATATCACGGACAGGAATGCAAATGAGATCTGCACATTCCCGAATGAGCCTAGCAGATATCTTGTCAAGGCCAGCCGCCTTTGACTTATTTAGACGATTCAAAAGTGAGAGAACTTTATTTGTACTGGTCGGATGGAGCTGAAACCGTTTATCTGTGCCAGTGAGGTACTTTTGATAACCATCACTATTTGAGGAATCAATATTGCTAGCAAGTTCTGGACCGATAGTAGCAAAGTGATTATTAAATTGGTTCGACAGTACAGTTGGATTTGTTATTGATACTTCATTTACTTTCAGAGATGTCGCCGATTTTTTCCCAGATTTTCGCGAAGTAAGTTCATTGATAGTCTGCCAGGTCTTTTCAGAATCGCCCGCATACTTGTTTAAACTATTTTGATAATAGGCTTGCTTTCGCTATTTACTATATTGCGTTGTTTTTTAAAAAGTGACCAGTCATTTGAATCATTCGATTTACTTGCTTTAATCTTTAGAATATCCCGATCATGCATAGGAATGCCTGCTCCGCAATCTACACTTATTCTCGTGTTTTCATCAAGAAGGATTCGTAACTTCGATGGCAACCCACGGTTTCACAGAACCCATTTCATTCTTTTACCATAATGCAGATGAGAAAAGTCTACTAGATTAAGACTTTTTTATTCATGAACAACGCCTATCCTCTGGGGAAAAAGGAGGGAAAAATGACGACAAAACGGTTGTTCTCTATAAACTTATGTTGAATAAACTCACCTCCCATCAAAACGCTGGCGCCGAGCGTGCTCAGAGCTTCGACAACACGTTCATTAGCTGTGTCCTTGTCTGACATCACGTACGCATGTGCAATATGAGCGCTGTAGTCAACCGCGAATCCTATGGCCATGACAAGATTGATCATGGATACAGAGTTCAGAGATACGCCCCAGATCACCATCAATCCAAACAGCTCACATATCAGGGCAGCAAAGTTTAGCACCACTAGGAGCGTAACAGTACACTCCACTAGAAAGGGGCTTGTAACAATCAGTACAGCTAAGGCCGCGATTAAAAGGTTCCTTACGGTTTCCCTTGACGTGATTGCGTACTGCTCAAAGAAAATGAAGGGTCGAGCGATGGTGAATGCTGCAAGGTTTTTCAATGTACCTGTTTGGAGATCTTCTCGAAGCGTTAGCATGGCATTTTTCTGAAAAGAAGAGCTGGTCGAGGTTTTCATGAAACCCATAATTCGACAGACTTCGACACTTTTATTGTCTAAGGAAAACTTCACGTCTTGTTTAAAATTTGAATATATATCAAGAAACGACAACAACTCCGGCGTAAAGTTTGACCCGAGGATATTTTTATTCTTGTGCAGGGCATACTGGGAAAACCCTTCAATCCAGGACAAAGTTCTGTTTTCATAATACTTGTTAGAGGTCACAATTTTGGACAGACTTCTCAATTCTTCCTGGACAGATCTTTTTCCATAATCGATGTTTCCAGTCTCGACAATACTCACAGGAATGGACAGCTCAAAGTACTCTTCTTGAGTAGATAAAAATTTCTTGAGGTAAGAATCATCCTTCGCCAAAATTCTTCTGTCAAAACTTTCATCCACCTTTGTAACACCATATATCCCGGCCGCTAGAAAGCACCAGGAGAAGACTGTCACAACGACTTTGACCACGGATAAGGTAAGAAATCGGGCCCAGGCCTCCATAAGCTTGTTAGAGGTTTGAAGACGAGGCTCATCCCAGGCCGGGGCGTTTTCCCTTGGCGGTGGCGCGCGGCAGAACGGTAAACAGTCCCGTCGACCTGCTTTAATCCTTTTTACGTCGTATGACATGATGGCCACAAAATATGTGACAATCATTAAGTATGAAAAGGTCACAGTTAAGGCAGCATACACGCAAAAATACCTAAAAAATAAGCAAACAAGAGGTGTTAATGAGCCATTTGCCTTGTCCTTCTTATTGTAAATGCCTAGGGTAAACACAATATATGATACATCATGTTTTACCAAAAAGACTTGTTTTCAAATCTGCATTTGTAGAATTTCTTCGTTTTGAATTCAGAGGAATTTGATCCCGAACTTTCATGTATAAGGACTAAGAGTGCAGTGCCGACCAACATTAGGTGTTTGTTGCTTTTCTACTTAAGCACTTCAAATCTCTCGGAGTAGCGCATGGCAATCACTGCGAGATCAGAGAATCGCTCTTCAGACAATGTTGATCCAGAGCAAGGCTTTATAGCCGGTGGCTTGCAGGGAGAAAACTCTGTCCACGCAGAATCTCAAACAATTCCCACAATCCATAAACACTACCCAGAACCCCCAAAACACGCCCCAGTGAATCCAAATCATGTCTCAGAATCCAAATTCTGGGGTGTTTTTTGGATTCTGGAAAGTGATTTGTCCCTACGAGCCACCGCGGGTCTTGACTTGTTTCATCAGTATTAAACGACCATTCAACTGTTGCGCGGTGGATGTTTTGGAAATCATCTTCATCGCGAGAATCAAGTAGTAGTAAGAGATTGTTTGGAAACTTCCTTTGACTACAGTTGTCGTTAAAGGAAGAAAGGAGGTTGACCGCCCTCTTTTTCCACTCTCTTGGAAGCGGCGTCTCCCACCACACAGGATACATTTACCATTTATCACTGTTGCTAAGGCCGTCTTGCCCTTACCTACCTTCAGAGCCCTATCTGTTACATTTGGTTAGCACCCTAATGGTTATATACAAGGAGTATTTTGCACATCACCTGATAGCTGGAAAGGAGGTAGACGTGCTGACAGCAAACGCCACCAAATCGGTCAACGTTGTCATCGTGATAGTGGCACCTGAGCGTGACAAGACTTCCTTAACTGTTTCAACAACTGTCATGCTGCGTTGCTGTCGATCAAGTTCGTCCACCAGAATAAACATGTCGTCTATTCCAATTCCAAGAATCAAGAAAGGTAGCACTCCCACCAAACTGACAAATGGAACTCGGCACCACATGGCCAAGCCAAACCCAGCTAAGATCCCGAGGGCCACTGCAAATACGCCCGCGTTAGCTAGTAATGAATGCCCCGTCAATGGATTCATAAACTTTCCTAACATCACACAGGCGAAGGTGATCATTAAGGTAAAAGTGATTGATACCAAGGTGACATCAGAGCCACTGCTTTCCGCAATAGCGTCGTCTAGGCTTCGTTCGCTTGAGAAATGGACTGCAAAGCAGGAACGTTTGCCCACCAACGATTGGATTTTGTCCACGAAAGTTTTCTCCCATTCGAGAATTTTAGCGTTCGAATCTTTGTCGCTTGGATCACGCACATAATAGACCATTTGCAGCGCTTGTGCGCCTGTTATGTTTTCTCCTTCTTTTTCTACTTTACCAAACATTTGCTCGAAGTTGTAGCGAAAGGATCGTCCATTGCGCATGACAAACATTCCTTGAGGATTCATCGTGTTCGTGTACTCTTTAGAGACTTTTTCTTGAAGTTGCGAATCCGTGCGGTTTAGATTTCCTTTATCAAACTGGAAAATCTCCAAAGGGTTAATCATCATGCATTCCTTGGGATTTTTGGCGCCGACACCGGATAAGGTCAGGCACAATTCTGAATACGACTTTAATTCCACGACTGCTTGGTGAACTTCTAAGGCCTGCTCCAGACAAACACGATTAATAACGTTAGGAGGATCTGAAGATGCTACCAAGAGAACGATCTCTTCACGAAATCGAACTGGAAAATACTTCTCAGCGGCGTTTAAATCCTCCATGGCTTTGCTGTTTTGTGGAATAAAGAGTTTTTCTGTCCTGTTTTCAACTTTCATCCAAGCAAACCCGACAGAGCATATGCTTACGAACACTAGACACAGTGGGATGGTAAGCAGCGGATGTTTCGCGATTCCTTCACCAAACCAGCCAAAGAATCTTTCAAGAACATGAACAAACCAGCTGCAAAACGAAGTCCAAAGAACACAGGGACTAAAACGATGGCTACAGCAACAACTGAAATGAAGCAAAATTAAAATGCCATTATCGTTGAATGTCACTAAGACTCTTAATTTCTAAACTTAATATTCTTGAATGAATTTTTGCGATTTTTGTTATACAACTGACAGCCTTCTTTGCCCCAGCTTTTGCTGTGAATTTGTTATTCTTGATATATTTGCGATTTTTGTAATACATTTCTACATGCAGTTAATTTCATTCATTTTTTGCTAAACTGAATAGCAGCTGACTTACAAGCCAATTTTTGCTACAACTTCCAACCCTGGACAAAAGTGGAGGTTTCCTCGGAATTTGAGCTTCCCAGCTGTGGTACACTTACTCTATACAATTTAGAGTGTTTAAATAGGGCTGCTCAGTCATGTAACAGATCTAGTTTAACAAAACAGTAGGCCATATTACCTTCCCACGTTACTGTTATCTCCCATGGTGGGATTTGATGCAAGAGTTTCAGGATAACTCGGCAAGGCTTCGAAACAAGATGGTTCTGCTCACGACTGGCTGCAAAAAACAAAGGTTACTTCAGTGAGCTTTCTTTACCTCTCAAAGTGAGAGTGTTACTCCATTAATATTAACGCTAAAATGAGTTAAAAAGAACAAGCCTTTTTTCACGTAGGCCGCCTTCTCCCCGGGGGTGTACTTCCTCATATGGCCTATATGGGGATGTGCCGCTGGACAAGGTATGGTTTTTGCCCTCTCTGTCCTAAACAGGGATAAACAGGGATAAACAAGTCTGTCATTCTTTTCATTGTCCTTAGTTTTGACCTAAAAGAGTCCTGTACTGCTTTTTCTCTGCCGACATCCAGATTTCTTAATTCTATCCTCTCCTCCCATATATTACGTAATCTGGGGCTCTAACGCGCGGCCTCTATGGAGTCTTTGAAACTGATTTTAAAGTGTTTAAAATGTATTTTCAGTATTTGAATACTATTTTCCTGTATTTTAATCCTATTTGACAAAAAACTTTAAATTTTCGCCCCTGTTTGGAATATATCTTAAGTGTAGTTAAATTATATTTCATCAAAAGGAAAACCTCTCTCATCAATTTACAATGTATTTTGTTAAATAAATATGATTAAAATAGGGTATTTCAAATGTATTTTGGGCATAGAACCACTAACACTGTTACAAACAGAGTTCAAATAGACTATTTGAAATATGTTTTAAGGGCTTAAATGCGACTGTTTTTTAAATACTTTTAAATAGGGTGCTTTAACACTGTTTTGAGTTGTATCGAAAATGTATTTTGAGACGCATCCACTCACAAAGTTACAAACAGAGTTCAAATAGATTATTTGAAATATGTTTTAAGTCCTTAACTACTGACCGCATTTCAAATACTTTTAAATAGGGTACTGTTTTGAGGTCTATTTGAATTGTATTTTGGGCACACAACACTCTGACTATAAAAACAGATTGTACATAAAATATTTAAAGTCTGCTGAAAGACATCAAATGCTGACCTTATTTTAAATACTTTAAAATAGGGTACTTATTACTTATTATTATTGAGGTGCAATATTGTAATGTATTTTGGGATACTTATACTCAGACTATAAAAGTAACAATTGCACAAAGTTAATTTTTAAGCCTTCATCGTGTCACGAACTCATAAATGACTCAAAACAAGCTGTCATGTTGTGGACCGGATTCTTCTCTCAATAAAGCTCGAGGCGGAGCCAAAAATTAAATCTCCCAGCAAATCAAAAAGAAATTGAAAAAAGAGAAGAAAATTAGGAATAGATTTTAGCTTTGACTGACAACACGTAACTGTGACAGTGTGCCGATAAAGGATCAATCCGTTCCTCAATGTTCATTACCTGCAAGCTCTCTGCGAAAATCTCCGCCTAGATTTTAGCCGTGATTCATTTAATGCAGCTACGGGACATTCCATAAGTTTTTTTAAAAGAAAATTCTTAAAATCACATTTTAATTTTCATGTAGAAATTTTTCGCAAACAGCCGAAGCCGCGGGCCGTGAACCGGATGTACGCGGTCAATTGAGATTTGTCTAAAATAAGTCCTTGAAATTTCATAATAATTAAAACAAACTATCCAAGCTAAGATCTCACCTCGTATATATTGCACTAAGAAACAACGCTCAGATCTGAATAAACTCCGACATATGGTTATCTTTCTCTCATAGACTATTCCGCACATACATGGCATATTATTTTTGAGATGTCACGCGCGACTGAAATCACGACTTCGCGCCGCGGTGATGTGACAAATGCACGTGATAAGCAAACCGTCCTTTGTCCTTTGCTCATTTCAAATTATTGAACCGGCGGTTGCTCCCGGGCGGTTGCTGTGAGCTTAAATGCGCTTGATTTTACTGTTTGTTACGATCTTACAAAAGTACACTCCAACTCTGCGGATTGTCGGAACACGTAGATGTTGCTTTTATCACGAATCAAAAATGGTTATCACTCCTCAGCGACTGTTATGTACTTTGAAATCGATTGAAAGGTTCTGGTTCAGGAGAAGAGTCCAAGAGTCTAATTGTAAGTATTAAATATACAATGTTACTAAGACGCTTAGATATACGCCATATGAGAAACAAATGAAGGGTAGTAAACATTTATATAGTCGCGCCCGTACGGCAATTTTACTTTTTACAGGATTCCTTGCAGAGACTCGCTGTTTTGTATAAATGATCTCAGTCACTTGATGTCACGTCACCGGCCTCTTTCATTCTCGCGTAAATTTATTCGTATGCTGTTCTTTATCAGCCACTAATTAATGTTCAGGCGTAGCCTGCATTAAGCTTCTGATGATATTTGAGTAAAGCCGTGAATATAATAAACAATGTAAGTTACATGCATGTAGATTAATATTTACCGGTAACGTCAGTAACGTTATACCCTTTTGAAGCAAAAGGTTGATAGCCTGTGTACATACCCCCCCCCCCCTCCGAGTTTTATTGAGGGAAGGGGTCTGTACACAGGCTAAAGATTGATTTGAGCATTTCTGAAAAATTCCATAAGAATTTCCCGAGAATTCTTAGGGAAATCAACGTAAAGTAATCGGCTAAGAGATAATTCTCTTGAAGTCCTAGCCTAGGACTGTGTGGCGAAATTTCGCCGAGGTAAATCTTGCTTTTTCAGGGTAATTTTCGACGGTTTTGTATTCATTTTATTTCATGAATTTAAATGGTATTTCCGATCCATCCTGTTTTTGTACTATTTTTATGCTCTTTCGACCGATTTTTATACTGTTTTCAGACAACTCTAAGGCTATGTTCTTACAATTTTATACTGTTTTTGCATTTTTGCATCCTATTTTTGATGTATTTAATTCATAATATATGTGTGCTATTGCTTTTCTTCTTCTGTGGTATTTTAATACTGTTTTCAAAGTATTTTTATTGTATTTGCAAATACGAGTATTTTACTAAATTTCGAAACCGATTAAACAGCTATTAAAATATATTTTGAAGCATAACATTTTAATAGCGTTTTAAACAGGTTAAAACACCTTTAAAATCAGTCGAAAAATATATCAAAAATATATTTTTGTACCTATTTTAAACCGGTTTTTTTCCAAATACGTTTAAAATTGCCATTAAAAATAGTTTTAAAATAGTATAGTAAATTAAAATATGTTTTTGAAACTGTTTTTATCCTGTTTTTATTCCGATTTATAAGGTATTTAAAAACTGTTTTTGACCTGTTTTGAGCCTTGCAAAAGCCCTGGGACTTTTTATATATTTTAAAAGCATTTTAAAATACTTTAAAAATTCTTTTTTAATAGCGTTTTAAACAGGTTAAAACACCTTTAAAAGCAGTCGAAAAATACATTAAAAATACACTTTTTACCCTATTTAAAACCTATTTCACAAAACAGGTTAAAAACAGTTTTCAAAAATAGCTTAAAAATACATTCAAAACAGTGTTGGATTTGGTAAGGGACGTCTTCTCTATTAAGTTTATCATTCCAATTTAAACTTTTTTCCATTTCATTGATTTTGTCGGGAAAGAAATAGTTGATGCTTAACTTTATTATTTTGTGATTAAATATTAATCAGAAATTGACATTTGTAGCGCAAAGAAGTTAGATTTCGAGACATTAGATTTCACAATAATGTAGTCAAAGTCCGAGTATATTTACGATATAAAATGATGTAACAGCATGCATTTTCTTAGGCTATATAAGGTGAAAGAACGTGCGATTTTGTAATAGACACTTAATTTAGACACATTACAATGGGAACTTTTACTGTACATGTGATTAATGTAAAAATACTGCTTTACGCAAGAATAGTAGAAAAACCACTGTATACTTAGAATGTTTTAGTTGATCGATTCGTTGATCGTTGATCGTTTAGTTACGTTGATCGTTGTGTTACGAACGTTGAGTATGTGAGAGTTGTACATCGTAGTAGATTGTTGGATTGCATTAAATCGTGTTGTTACATCGAAAGATACAGTCCTCTTGATTTGTTTGAACCAGCGGAGCGGGGTTAAAAGAATTCCGCAACAGAATTTACATGGCCAATCTGCGTGCATGCTTCCGAAAATGCCCAACATCCTTTATCTATTTTGTTGTTATTTTAACGTGCAATATTATGGACTCGTTGTATTTTTAGTGTATAGTATATTTCACTTCAATATTGTGCTTGTTGTATTTTTTCAATATTATGTGTAGAACTTGTATTCTTTTTGTAACTTATTTTGTGATAGAGGGCCGTAAGTTAGAAGACTGTAAAAGATTAACGTCATCCTCATTAAATAATGTTATTGTATTGTAGTAAAGTATCGAGCTCACGTAGAGCAGGACAAACGTGATCGTATTTCTTTCATATGTCAAAATTCGTGCGGCAAAGTTCTGTAGAACCGTGACGGAAGACTTCCTCGTTATGAACTATTCAGATTATTATGAGCTTAAAAAAAACATATAATGACAGTTGCTTTTGTTCAAGACGGGCAGAAAAAGATAATGGTGTAGCCACTTGCCTCAAAATTATAAAATGTTAGTTAGTTAACCCTTTCACTGCCAGAGTGCTTGATGGAGTTTTGTAAGGCGACTCTAACGTTAACTTTTGAGTCTGCGGACGAAATCCTCTGACATGACTATTCAAATGAAAGCTCTTCAACAGTACTTTCACGCTGTACTATTTGTTTTTCAAAATTTTACAATGAAATTTGGAAATCTGGTCGAAATTTAGACTACGAGTAGTCCCCCATTTTTCCTCAGGGATAGTAGTCTAGTCGAAATTTGCCTTTGGCTACATTTGGCAGTTAAAGCAATACTTAGAAAACAATGGTATCTCTTATGTGTTATGTCAGCTCAGTCAAATTTTAGACATTTCCAAAAAGGCAGAAAGCAAAATTTAATACATGCATAATAACTGAAGTTGTTCACTAGGGAAACAGTTTACATAACCCAGTTTCTAAGGGCTACAATATTTAAATCTCAATTTTTTGTCGTATTTTCACTTCGACGAGCCTTCACAGTTTTTGTCACTGTCGCACGGCGTTTTTCTGCGTGCACTAAAGCTAGAAACTCATCCTTTTCGTCTCATAGTTTCAACCTCTAAAACAAAGACTTCATCTTGGTTTTCGATCGTCTCTCACAGTATGTATAGTAAAAATCAAAATGCTATTGAACATGCAAGATTGAAACTGTAAGCCTGTTCATAAGTCAGGGGCACCCAACGACAGTTTTCTATAAAATATCCTAAAATTTTCGGAATCGAAAATCTGATGGAAAGAGGAATCAGCGAAATTTCACTTTCGTAAAACTTTAAATTACATCTAAAATTTTCGGGAAATAATACTGAAGCCCTGACAATTTCGAAAAGACTCAAGTTGCCCTAGGATGACCGAACAGATATAAATAAGTGCCGGTTAAAATGTATTTCTAAAGATCTAAAAGTACTCTGGATAGCCTAAATAGCATGCATTTAGGAGGAAACAGTCGTTGGGTGCTCCTGATAAGAAAAAAATACTACATACGACCAAAGAAAAAAAATGACCAAACCACCAATGGATTTCCAACTTGTAGAACATTATCCTTTCTTCTTTTCTAACGGGGGAAAATTCATTTTTCAGACGGTATGTGTGTAACTGTTATTCGGATGTGCAGTTCGATATCGACTGTTCAGAAGGTCGATAACACTGAAATTCTGAACCTAAAGCGAGCCATTTCAAATTTCAAAATATATCTTACAGATTACGTACAGGCCACCCCGTCACGCGATCCTGCGCCATCACGGTCGTGCATGTGTTCGCCAGCGGCTGGTGATGAACCCGACATGTAGAACCGGTTTTCCACCTCCCTTTTTTTCGAGACTCCTCGGATCCTTGACTTAAACATATATGCATTGCACAGACGTAACAATTGGTATGTGTTCACACCGCCGTAGCCAGTACGAGGCGAACCGAGGCACTCGCCTCGGTAAAATTTTACCAAATACTGTCGATTTTTATTTTTTTTATCAGACTGATAATATTAGAAGATTTCATACGGCTGATTTCGTACAACGGACCGTGTGTTCGCCTCGGTTGTAGTCTCTTCCTGGCTACGGCCCTGGTTCATCAGTGAAAATAAAACTGCTGCTTATAAAATCTCGTGGTCTAAAATCGCGGAAATCGATAACACCGTGAATTTGTTCTCAAGGTAAAGCGAGAGAGCATCAAGTAGAACAAAAAAAACCTCAACGCCGACGAACATTTGTCGCCACAATAGCGAGTATTGCAGCCAACTGACAATGCAGCCGTATAAAGCAGCTATACTGATAACTGAGTTATTGCTTTTAAGATGAGATAAACTAGGGTCGAGAGTTTCTACTTCTGATCGCACGAACTACATGAAAATGACATAATGATCATAGCATTTACTACCTGAACATGGCGACCAAATTCAACATCAAAAGAAGCTTATGGCTGGTCCTATTGATTTTGTCCTTTTGGAAGGAGTCGCGTGATTTTTGTCTGTGAATTATGCAAACTCGTTTTATCTCTGACGCTTTTATATTTATTTTAGGCAAAACATGTCAAATACTGTTTTCATGACGTAGCCACTTCCGCTGGACAGTTGGGCTCTTCGATTGACTTCCTGACTTCCTGTTTTTTTGGACTTGTTCAAGCGATCCCAAATATCAGGGGCACCCAACGAGGATATAGTTCAAAACCACTTAACATAGCATTGTTGAACGTATTTTAGTATTCAAACGGTAGATATAGGCATATTTTTATCCCCTAAAAACTTTTCATCTGTTCGGATTTCCTAGCTGAAAATCTAGTGATCCGAAAATTATAGGGATAAAAACTTACCTTCTCGAAAATTTCAGCCAGGAAAAGGCTCCCGAAAATTCTAGGTGGCCTTTTGTAGAGTCAAAATCCGTTAAAAATGAGTAATTCTACCATTTTGTAGATGTTCGAAAATCCTAGGAGAGGCAGGCAAGCAAGAAATTTTACAACAAATGCTCCGAAAATTCTAGATGTCAAATCGTCTTCCGAACAGATATTTTCCCGAAAATTGCCGTTGGGTGCCCCTGAAATATTTCTCAAATGAACCCAAACCGAAATCCTTTCAAAAATTTCATACCATTTGTTTGCGTATTTTATTTTTTAGACCAAACTATGTGAATTTGCCCCCACTGTTTCTGACCTGAACTGCTGTTCTTCAAAAGTGGCGAATGATGAAATTCAATTTTTGAAGCAAGGACCAGCTTACAAAAAAGATTAGGACCGGATCCTAATAAAGGATCTAATCAGGAAAAAGACGCAATGGAGCGTAAACTTCGGTTTCGTGGTTGAGAATTAATTGTGAATATGGAGGAATAGAAAGAAATGATATTTTTCCGAATACCCTTCCATACAAATACCCTGATCACTTTTCTCCTTTTGTGTTCAAGACCTCTTAACTTCTTCACCGGAAGTCTGCTAGGTGTATGACCCCCGTGGCTGTAATCCAATTCGATTATAATTCATGCCGTAAATAAACTGCGCACGACGAGATCTCATGAGTTCCACTGCCTTTATTTCTTCTACATCAACACTTTCCTTAAGTACAGTCAACTCCACACCTTCTCCAGCAACGTAACTAACATCAGTAGACTCCCTTACAAAACTTGCTGAAAATGCTCCATACCGAGGATAAATCATGTACAAGATCGCAACATAAATTATTACATGAAAAACAATAACACGCAATACAAAAACAATTAGTGCATTTCGATCCTCTGCTTATGATCTCTTCTCACTACTTCTCCATATTACGTTTTTCTATGGCGGGAAAACGAAGAGTCCGTGTTTTAATCTTACTCGCGACAACAACAGACTACGAATGACAATCTACAGAAAACCGACAGATTACTAGACCAGTCATCGTACAACCCGACCTCTCACAAGGCTACAACTATACGGACTTTGACCAGTTTGACGAGACCAGCGCAATTAGTTTGCGACTCGCCTTACAGCCTACAGGAGGAGACTGACTACCTAAATAATGTTTTACTAAAAACAACTACAACGTGGACTTTGTTAAACACTCACAGCCGCTGATTCAAACACTCAGACCAACGTCAACTCTGGCCCTGTTACGACAGCGACTACTGTACATCAAAGGCTGACTCTATCTTGGTGTTGTACAAAAAACCTATAACCAGTTTACGACGACTACTTGCTAATGTCAAGGACAAAGAAAAACCGGACGACAGACTAGGAGAAGCATACAGGATCAAATGCTGTGACTGCCAAGCCACTCACATCGGTGAAACCGGCAGAAACCTTAGCACGCGACTGACCCAACACCCCGGTGGGGGGTACTCCCATACATTACCTATATGGGTATGTGCCGCCCAACGGGGTCGTGATTTTGAAGCTCCTGATTTAGAACGGGGTATTCATTTCAGAGTCGTTTTTCTAGAACGGGGTATAAAAAATTGTGGATCACGGCTTTATCTTCAGCTTAAAATTGTTGTTGATTATGAAGAAGCATTTATTTGATGTATAAGTCGAACAAATAAAGAAATATCTTTTTAAAAAAACAGGGCTATTTCAATTTACAAACTTTCTAGAACGGATTATAAAAAATTGGCCCATTTCTAGAACGGGGTATCAGTTTTAGGGCGAATTCTAGAACGGGGTATAAAAAATTGGCCCATTTCTAGAACGGGCCTTTTTTATCAATTTTAGAGGAAACATTTTTTTAGAACGGGGTGCCAATTTGGAGTCCCGGGCGGCACATACCCACCCAAAAAATACCCAAGTGCTCCCCCCGGGCCCAACACAAACGAGCACATTCAGACATTGCTGAACACGATTTACCAACGAATCATCAAATCGACATAATGATATACAGTTCGTTTTTTTGCAGATGCCTCCCCACTATTTTATACCTAGCTGTGGAGTCGCAAAGTGACACAAACTCTCTGCAGAAGGATCTACACGAACTTGAAAACTGGGAGAACAATTCAATATAAACAAATGCCAGGTCATGCGTGTGTTCCGCAAACGGGATCCACTGAACCATGAATACACCCTTCACGGTAAAGTACTGGTAGTGGTTGAGTCTGTAAAGCATCTAGGAGTAACAATAACATCGATCGCATCTACGATGGAATCAACATAACTCGAACATTGGAACTAAAGGAAACCAGACTCTAGGCTTCCTGAGAAGAAATCTCAGAATTAACTCTCCAGACCTGAAATCGATCGCCTACAAGGGCTTAGTCCGGCCCAATGTGGAATACGCCTCAACTGTTTGGGACCCATATACCAAACAATATAAGGATAGAGTAGAAATGGTATAACGTAGAGCAGCACGTTATGTCCTAAATTGTTACGAAAGGACTGCCAGTGTCACCGAAATGTTGAAACAACTTGATTGAGATACTCTAGAACTACGTAGGAAGAAAGCTAGACTAACAACGCTGTATAAAATGCACTGTAACTTAGTTGAGATAGACCAACAGAAATATCTCGAGCCAGCCGGCCGATCCAGCAGACATACGCATAAACTGTCGTATGGCCCCAGCGTCTAAAACAAACTATCACTTAATTACACTCATTTTTCCCTAATACCATCAAGGAGTGGAACAGCCCACCCCTGAATGTAGTTGAGGCACAATCCATAAACTCTTTCCCAGGCCAGCTGAACATGCTTTTTTTCTGTTATTTTATTCTTATCATCAGTTATTACCATTATTAAAGCCACTGACCTCTTGCCAAGAATCATCGTATAGATGGAGAGCAAGTCCTTGGAAAATAATAAAAATATATATACTCGGACTCTATCACATGCATTCCGTATTATACAGACTACTATCAACGACTCACTTAAGAAAGATGGTTTACTCCCACCGTAGTACAGGGGGTGGGGGGGGGATGGACCCCCCTAGAGTTTTTAATATGTTGCAGTATTTCGAAACGATTTTACCTTCAGTGGAAACCCTTTGATCTTCTCTACAAGATGAGGTATATTTGGCGCTGCTGGGGCCCTGTGACGTCGCCAACAAAGGTCGCCATCTTGGATTTTACCAAGAATTAAAAATCAGGTTAAAACCTCGATAAATGGTGATTGTTTGTGCTTGACATGAAAAATAACACATATATAAGCACTTTGCATGATTTCAGCCACAACATTTACTTTTATTGTTGAAAAAAGTTGAAAAAATATGAACTTTTACTCAAAAATGGTTTGACCACCTCCTCCTTATGATGTCATATCTCGTAACCATAGAAACTTACCATTACTAAACTTGACTCAAAATGCGCGCGAGGGATGAACGAACAGCTACTGAAAAAAAATCAGGTGCTGATGTTTTATCGTCTACGAGAAAATTCAGAAAAACTTTAGCGGGGGTTGGCACCCCTTGCACGTCCAAGGGTTAAAACAAACGCCACTGAATCGTAGTCAGACAGTTACCGGCACCGTACAAACGACTTATTGACGGACTCATGAAGCAAAAAAAAAAAAACAACTACAAGAGAATGACTGGACAACCGACCATTTGACCAACAATAAACGACTGTTTAGCTGTGACAATAGACTGATCGAAAAGCCAATGACATTGCGAGTCTTCATAGCCAATAACTATCGCGGTCATCAACTGACGTGATACAACTCACTTTGACTCTGAAGATGACTACCGTACAGCTTTGCAAAGAAATTCGCACAGACTTTAACCTGATTCAGACGTCCGAGGTCGTACGGGGCCCCTTCGCTTCCTCCCGACCGCGAATGACCTCGGACGTCTCAGAATCAGGCTACCCAGACTAAAATTTGCTTAAAATTGAGCCACACTACAAAAATTCATGAAGTTCACGCAAAACGGTAATTGAATGGGGTTAGGAATCACGTTTAAAATTGAATTAAATCTTCGTTCACACTGTCACGGCTTAATTTTAAAAACGTAAAATTTGTCTTGGGATGGACAATCACGAAACACGCATAAATAAAAATCTGAATAACGTTTCACACACACACAAAAAACAATAAAACAAAAACAGTAACAGGGGACCTTCTACAAGGGGTAGTGTCTGCGAACAGCTAAGCCGACCTTGCGTTTCAACTATGTTATATAAAAAGCATTCCCACTTAAATCACCAATCGCGAGGAAAAAAAAGATATAAAAGCCACACTCTCGATTAAAAATTACTCGCCCTCAGTCCTGACATGCATCATCACTGTCTAGTTACATAAGTAAACCTCGAACAGTCAGTTCATATGTGGCTTGCAAATTGTGCCGTAACTGTTCTAAATGTACTTCTCGTTCAATTTCACTACACACTGCATTTCTCCTCTTGTTCAGAATTCCTATGGCAATCTTCCGCCGCCTTTCCCTTTCATCTGGGGACATTTTTTTCTTCCAAATCATCTCGTCTTCATCCCAGACCACCTGTTGCTTTTTGGCCAGGTTGCTGCCTTCCCAGGGCACACTGTTCTGACTGTTGCTGTTCAGCGACCATTCCGTACTGTTTGGCAAGTAATCTTCAAAACCACCTTTCACTCTCTCGTCACATGCATAATTGCTGTTAGGATTGTATGCCTTCGAGCAGGCAGAAAACACAGCCATTCGCTCTTCGAAGTTGAAGTAACTATACCGCTTTTCAGCTTTACGGGCAAAGATCAAGGCATGATGTATTTTTCGCTGCCGACGGAAACGAAAAAAAGAACTCATTCTTGAAACAGTTTTATAACAGCGTCGGGTTCACAATACAGACTGAAGTAAAAATAACACGGAAATTTAGCAAAAAAGACCCTACTATATCTGACGGGAGAATTTAGTTATGTCGAATTCCAATCCCTCATTGGCTAGCGGCAAAATAGAAACACACTGGTTGCGTGTCCATAATCCGCAACTTGTTCTTTTCGGCGAGCTTTACAGCACGCAACTTGGACTCGCCTCGCCTCACCTCCAACACTCAGAAGAGTGTCACAACCAAAAACAAAAACAACAACAAAACAAACAAACAAAAAAGTTATTGACATGGCTCTGAGACGAGAGAGACCGTTAGGGCGACCATCCCAGTGATATTATGTTTTTTTCGAAGAAAGCTAGAGACTAGCGCATATTTTGCCAAATTTTCGGCCCATGCAAGCAAGTCTGAGAATCTCGGCAATCCAAGCCTCCTCGTCGTTAAAGGGACAGGTTCACGGTTAAGGGCATGCTCATTAATTAAATTACTTCTGTCCAATTTATTATTAATTCTATCGGTTAACAATCCCACTCACATGTATCTCAGCGATCTCAGAGTGTATTTCAAAGTAGAATTGTATTTCAGAGTAAGTAACCTGAAGTAGGATGGAGGAGTACTAAAATCGCAGAAAAATTAATGGGTCATGGCAACACTACAAACGTTGAATTTATTGTTGACCCGATGGTTTTATTCCATGGTTGATTAAATTTACAGCTATTTGCAAATATTTAAGTTGATCAAGTGTAAGTGACTGCCAACACTTTCAAAATGGACGCCAAATCAACGAACCTGAATGAGCATGTGCAAAGGAACAAGCCCGCTGACCAGCTGTCCCTTCGCTCTATTGTTTCCAGGCCCCTTTCTTTTAACAAATTGTCCGTTCCCAAAACCGAAGTCCGCGGACTTAAATAAGGAAGCGATAAAGGAGATTCAACAATGAAGCCAGTAGTCCGTTGAATGTAAAATAGTCAGAGTAATTTGTGAATGCGTTCTTTCTCTTTAAGTAATGCGTTCTTTCTTTAAGTAAAACTCGCCGTTTTCGCGAGGCGATATTTTTTCTTTATTTTCCAATTATTTCAATTTGATCAAATTACAGTTGAAACTCTCTACAACGGCCACCTTAGGGACATCGAAGAAAGTGGCCCTAGTAGAGAGGTTGAAAGAAGAGTGAATGTGTGTCATGTATGGACCGTCCGCCGAAAAAAAACAAAACAAAAACAAAAATGGCCCGTGTAGAGAGGTGACCGTTAAGGAAGAAAAACTGCGAACTAGTATCAGGACGCAAACGACTTACTAAAAACAGGTGGGTTCATTTTGACAACATTAAGACATGATCATATTGCTTGCATAGACGATACAACATGTCCTGGCATAAAAATTATAAATGATCAGTACGGCGCTGAACCGTGAACCTGTCCCTTTAAGTCTAGTGAGCCAGCGTTACACTAGGGATAAAATCGCCTCATTTTTTCTTTTGCACTCGCACTAAACCAGGATTACTATACGTTCTTCTTCAGGGAGGGAGCTTAAGCAACTACAAAGGCGACGGCAAGAGATTAAACTCAAAACAGAGCAAAGGTGTAGCAAAGCAGTAACTCTGCTCTTGAATCACAGATTTCAGATACATGAAGTGAGAAAGTTGGCAATGCTAAATACTAATTCGGCCGTTAAAGTGGGTAGAGATTACAAATACGATCATTGAACGTCTATCTAGAATGCATGGGTACGAGATACAGCAATTTTTAAAATAATCCTAAAGATTGTTGGAGGGTATGAAAAAACACCGAACAACATCCGCTGTCTAAACATCCTGATACACTCTCTAGATAGCTACTTTGTGGAGTTTTAAACCTTGCAATACAAGACTGACATATATTAAAACTTCACCAAAAAAAGGGAAAGAAAATAGATAATGTAACGAATCGATTTCGAGATTATCACGCGATGTCAGTATAACGAATTTTCCGAAAACAACGTTTACAACAGACCTCTGACAGTTAGTTCTTGGCTGATTTGTAAGTTGTGCCTGTGTTTTTGCAGATGTGTTCCTTTAAAGTACCAATTTCGTTCTAATTCTCCGCAGATCGCATTTCGCCTCCTATTCAGAGTTTCCACGATATTCCTCATTCGATTCGCTCGCTCGATAGGTGTACTTCTCCTCTTTTTCCTCAAAGTTGTAGCTGCAGTCTCCTTTGCTTGTCTTTTGGCGTTCTTTACCTGTTCAAGTAACATCAGGTTACTCTTGTTAACTTGAGTTTGGTTTTTCCTGCCTTCAGAAAGCGATTCCCTGAACTCCAGACAGGCTACCGTTGTGTCAGCCAGTTCACATTGCGCTGCTTTCTCTCGACCAATCCTAACAGACGAATTCGAAGTGTGACCAACAGTCGGGAACGGGCACGTTTTGCGACGGTTCCTTAAAAATATATCAAGAAATCCCATTCTAGCGTGTAATTCAGCTTGACACGATTTCTGACCGCTCGAAAGTGAAATTCTCATCCGTGCTCAAGGACAGAAGAATAGGTAAAGTGAAATCCACTAAATTAATAGGAGTCTCTCCTTTGATGATTCCGCTGTCCAACTAACCAATCACAGCCCCGAAGAGGGAATTAGCTTACCAAGGTATTGCGCAAGTCATTGCGCAACAATTTTATAAAAGACAAGATCACTACTGACTTTCGTCGGAGAGGAATGAGAAGCGCTTTATTACTCTAAATTATTTCCTTCGTATGCCACACAAAAGAAACAAATATAGCACCAAATGTAAATAACATAGTTTGGAAAAAAAAAAATGAAGAAGACACCTATACGAAACCACAGGTAACCCAGGCTCTGTAATAGTACCACAGTACGGTTCCAGTAAAATTACAGTGTTTGTATGGGGTAAAAATATCATCCTAAAATTTCTAGGAAATACTAAATAAAGATCAATGAAACTTACTCTGCAGCTAATTGTTGTTGTCCTTATTGCTCCAACGAAGTTTCGTGATAATTTGCAGTAATTTGTTCAAATTCACTCTATCTACAATAATAATATACAAGGTAGGAAACACGAGGTGCCATTTTCGCCGACATGCTCTCATTCAACACAACTTTTTCCACGAAATTCGAACTCCAACGGAAAATAAACATGCCACGATCGTAGAAATAGGATAGCAGCAGATATAGAAACCAATGAAGCTTTCCCAGATAGAGAAACGAATCCCACAGATTTGGACAAACTCGAAGAATATAATCCAAACACACCGAGAATACGCTCGCCGAAGCAGCCGGGCCAGATCAACGCGCGGCCAAGAAAATGAAGCCTGGGCACTGTACAAAAAAATTCCATCCCGGGGGTCCTGGGGTGACCTTTCTAGGGACCGATACATCATGTGCCCAAGGCCACCCTCCCCTGCTGGAAAAATACTTGATAGAAGGCAATTGTTCTTCCTAGCCAATCACTATGGCCTGTTATAAAGAGATTATTTTCCTCTCGAACTATATTCAGCTCCTGGCCGGGCGCTGGTCCTCAGAAAGTTTATCAAACATCAATAGGGCAAGGTTATAAGGGCAGAGGAAAGAACAACGAAGGACGATTTACAAAACTTAAAACGAGCAAAAGATATAAGTGAATTTTGGCTCTTACCGAGGCATTTGTACAATAGGACCAAATTCAAAGAGAGGTGTATCTCGATGATTCACATATTTAACCGATAGAGCGTTCACTTGTATTGACAAGAAGTCGGCGTGTTACTGCCGCATTAATCGCTAAATATGTTAATCGCGCTAGTTCTTTCTTTACTAGTGCACGTGCCTTTCACATTCGTCTCAGTTATCGCAATTCATATTCTGTCGCAATTTTCTGTATAATTTTTGACATTAGTTTGTAAGCTTCACCGTTTATTTACGATAGTTTCGCTCGACAGTTCACAGCAACAGTATCTCAGTCATCATCTACCTTTTGTTCAACCTTGTTTTTAGCCCGCCTTATAAAGTACTTCGCGTTGTTATTTCATTAGTCTCATTACTGTTATTTGCATTCCTTAGTAAAAGAAATGGGGCGCCTTGTAACTCCGCAGACTCTCCTGATTATATTACTTTTTTTTAGCCATTTAAATTCAGGCGCGTGTGGGGGTTTGCTCTGGCAAATGGTGATTGGCTAAGAAGAACAATTGCCTTCTATCAAGTATTTTTCCAGCAGGGGAGGGTGGCTTTGGGCAAATGATGTATTGGTCCCTAGAAAGGTCACCCCAGGATCCCCGGGATGGATTTTTTTTGTACAGTGCCCAGGCTTCATTTTCTTGGCCGCGCGTTGATCTGGCCCGGCTGCTTCGGCGAGCGTATTCTCGGTGTGTTTGGATTATATTCTTCGAGTTTGTCCAAATCTGTGGGATTCGTTTCTCTATCTGGGAAAGCTTCATTGGTTTCTATATCTGCTGCTATCCTATTTCTACGATCCTGGCATGTTTATTTTCCGTTGGAGTTCGAATTTCGTGGAAAAAGTTGTGTTGAATGAGAGCATATCGGCGAAAATGGCACCTCGTGTTTCCTACCTTGTATATTATTATTGTAGATAGAGTGAATTTGAACAAATTACTGCAAATTATCACGAAACTTCGTTGGAGCAATAAGGACAACAACAATTAGCTGCAGAGTAAGTTTCATTGATCTTTATTTAGTATTTCCTAGAAATTTTAGGATGATATTTTTACCCCATACAAACACTGTAATTTTACTGGAACCGTACTGTGGTACTATTACAGAGCCTGGGTTACCTGTGTACGAAACTAGAAAGCTTATGAATTAAGCGTCCAAGAACTATGGACTAAAATAAAAGTTGATTACAGCAAATAAGCTGATAAATGGCGTAGAAAACTACGGGTGGTTCGATTGACTATATTTCAGAATAAGAATAAATAGAATAAACTCTAGAAATGATTTGTTTTAGCTTTCACTGCATTCCAATCACGCCGAGTAATCAGCTCAAGGAAAACAGAATATTCCGACGTATGCAGCATTCAAATGGTTCAAAAATCATGGCACAAGAGATTTGCAACAAATCGTTCACCTATTCCTGCTTCGGAATACGATCAATCGAACACACCCTCATCGGTTGCGATCGCTCTTTGGTGGAACAAGGAAAATACGAAAACAGAAGTGACGGGCCACATAAAGGGTCCGTATTTAGTCAAAACTACACTGTTTATTCCAAAAAAATACGAGAACGTTAAAATCGTCAAACTTAACAGTCTCTAACTTACAAATGTCATTATTTCGCGGACTATGTCTGTGAATTAAAAGAGTCAATTCTCTCATTTCAATATACACAACTTGATTATATTTGCAGTACTCGGCAGAACTCATTGTAGCTTGCGAAGAAGCTTTAAATTTCCAGTGGCAAGCGAGGCGATCCACGAGAGAATACGCGAGTGGCCGCGCGAGTGAGCTGCAAAGTTCCCTCACCCCTCGCTCTCGCGCCTACTTTCGTGTACCGCTCGCGCATGACTTTCACGATATTCCCCTTATGGAGAGCTTGCTCGCAGGCATCACTTACTCACTTTGTCATATCCCCCCGAGTTCATGCCTCGTTTGATAAGCGCTTTGAAGTGATCGGCACGCTGTCGATGGTATAAAGTCTTCATAAACAGCGGATGTATTATATAGATAGTCTGCCTTATGTTCATATCAAGAGCTTACGCACTGTCATACATTACATGGATTATTTTTTACGATCGCAATGCAGAAGAGTTGGTTATAATCCGACCACAATTAAACACGGAAAGGCTTCTCTCTTTAATTTTCGTCAGTGAACGATTAAAACGTATTCTGTCCAGAAAGAAACAATTTTCATGCCGTGCCTTTTGTTGGAAAACTTCCAGAACTGCATTGTCGGTCGCTGTGGTTGTCAAGCGGCTGCAAAATCGGATAGTTCCCTGCAAAAATCAATTGAGAACGCGACAACTGAAACAAACTTCAAGTATTTACGTCTGCAAACTCTAATAACTTTATCTTCAATTGAAAGCTGTGGTAGCCCCCCCGCCCCTTCTTTTCACCAGGACTGATGTTTCCCGGCCAAAAAACAGAGAACGAACACTCTGGATACAATAACGGACAAAAAGGTTACGATCCTTTTGGCCACCAAGGCCACCGAGGGCTCTGGCTTCCTGCGCAGACTCAGAAATGTTAACGAAAAAGGGCTGGATTTCCAACGACTTCAAAAATAGCCAGAGCACTCGATCGCGCTGACCACAAAGAACGCAGAATCAGAATGACTGCTCGATCTCGGCTCAGTGAGAAGAAATAAACGAAGTGGTTGTTTTCAAAAGGAACTGTGGTGTCACTTCGAAGGATGAGGGAGGTACGATTAACTTGCTTTAGTCTTATCAACTTAGTCGATAAAACAGAGACTCGAGAACATCCACTGATGAATCTCTTAACTTCATCAGACGAAAGCCGGTTTTTCTTCCATGTAGTAGAAGTTTCAGAAATAAAGCAAAGGCGGTTCTAACTCGCCAGGTCAGTAAGAAACAGCTCATGCATTGCGGGACAACTCGAGATTAGTATAGACAACACCAAAGATCAAGAGAAATTACATCAATGCATCTCGTAACTTGTGGAACCGGCAAACTACATATCTAAAAAGCCATTCGAGCATTTGGTTTAGTTCAGGATGAACGGGCGCCCGTATATTTTCTAAAAGCGGATTTAACAACTTGACATTCAAAATAAAAATCACGGCTCATCTCGAAGTAATTCTTTACGAACTCTTTCTTACCTTTGATGATCTTCGAATGTGTGAGGCTTCTACTCCTTGGTGACATCAAGGCCAAAGTCTCTGGATACAAACACGGTTTTGCTGGACTTCCGCATGGAAAGAAACCGCTTCATTTCAGAATGGCCAGACTGAAGGTATCCTTTACCTAAAATGAGGCGTTATATGTTTGTTTTCAGTCAGTTCAAAACTATTTTAATGAAGTGTCCATGTATTTAGAACAAAAGTACTAAAGGCCTGATTACATGAAGGTGGGAGGCCCCAGGTAGGTGAGGTAACCTGCTTAAGCGGGGAGAAAAAAATATCCCGCGTTGACATGTAATCTTACAACCCCGCCTTTCGGGGTGCACATTCTCAAGATTAATAACTAGTCGCTAAGAAGGTGAACAAACAAAACATGGCGAGCAAACGGTTAATGTTCTTCTCCTCTCGCTTCCTGCACGTAAGACAAACTTTCGGTGCTGTGGTTTTCTATTGTCACTTTGCAAAGCCTCCGCCAAAGGCTTTGCAAAATTTGGCGCGAATTTGACGTAACACGAATCCGACCCCGGCTAGGGGGTAAACGTGATCAAATTAAAATGAGAAATTATATGGATAGGCGGATTACCCCACCTACGTGGGTTATCTCAGCTACCTAGGGTCCTCCACCTCCATGTAAACAGGCTCTCAAAGGCCATTTCTGTATTTCCTTTAGCCTCGTTCTCAAAGTGAGTCTTGGTGCACCATGAGGTATAACTATGGTTTGTGCAACAGGCAAACTCTTTTGAGCGCCGCGCGCAACATTCGTCAATAAGCTAAGGCAGGCCTGTAAGATTCTTATCATGATTAGTCGACTTCGTTTTGTCCAGAGGAAATCAATCCTGGCCACTGTGGGAATAACATTCCCATTCTGGTCGTATTTTACATCGTAAAACTGTAATTGTTCTTTACAGAGCTTCGATTCCATCGCGGTACAAGGTTTTCCCAAGCACTCACGCGACCGTCTCACGTAACAGCAATTCCATATTAGGAGGTAAACTTTGACTGGTTCACCGAAAAAAACCCGCACTACGTTTCACGGTAGACACTGACAATATCTATCTGAGCTCAGACACGGTCATCTCTCTTAATCTAACTTAGGGTGTAATCATTTGAACCATACCAGAAAGCCGCCGCACTAGCCTGCCAAACAGTTTTTACTGCTCTCACGCTCAAAAAAATTAAAAATTCCAGTGAACCGTGACTGCTATAAGAGTATGCTGCAACTGAATCAAACCTTAACTTCCCAACTTTTAGGCTCTGTTCACACTGTACGGGATAGTTTTTGCGCAGGCACGAAAATCACATCGGATAAGGCTTTTGTTTCCAAATAAGAATGGTGATTTCGGAGCGATTTCTGCAACGGAGCGATGCTGCACAGCGTCGATCGTTACATATCGGATAGGTTTTTGTACCTGTAATGATAAGTATCTACCTGTATCCTTAGTTAAGTGAACGAGTTGGCATAATCGCTAAAAAGTATGAAAGGACAATTTTTTTTTGTCTTTTTGAACTTAGATTGGTTTGAAAGAACGTAAATTCACCATATTGTGACGTTTTTTGCTTCCGTTGCTGCCGTGGTTTCGTTAGTTTCCTCAAATAAAAAGAATATAGTATCCTCACCAGCACATGAAACCATTCTTGAAGTTATCCAAACAAAAGGTTCCTGAAGTGCTTTCCTGTCACCAACACACAATTCTGTAAGCCGAACTGGAAAAGAAACAAAAAGACACCAGCAATAGTGAACATGTGGGACTCTCATATTTTAAGTTTCGTGAGACATTCTGGAGGCATATGGAGGTTTCAGGTTAAGCCGTGGTAACACTAAATATGAGGGTAACACTAAATAGCCCAGCTAATAAAGGTGTGGCCTGTTCCAGGCCCCAAAATAGTAGGGCAGTCGTGCAGTAAAAAATTCGCTTGGCTTGTATTATTACTATCTGAGAGCCTGACAGCACGGTGCAAAGAAACTCATTTTTACGGCTTGCCATGCGGGCAAGTTGATGCTCGTATGTACTAGCCCAAGAGCCTTTTTAACTAGCCCGAAAAATTTTTTGATAAGCAGCATTGATTACAGTTCTTCTGTAATTTGAATTTCCCAAAAAACTCACTTGCCCTTCGGGTAAGTTAAGAACAGAATTCACTAGCCCGATTGCAAAATCCACTAGCCCCGGGCTAACACACACGACTTTCTTTGTACGCTGCACAGCCTACCCAACCTGAGGCAGGCTCTCTAGCCTGAGTATCAGTCGTTCTCTAATTGCTGACTGGTGTGTGTCAAGGGCCTTTGTAATATACCTCCCAACTCGAGCACGTTTTCCGATTGAAAGAGAGCGTGTCACGTGCTATGAGTCAAAACTTCAAAACTGTTCGCAAGCTGAAGCTAAAAATTGTACATTACCTTTCTCTGTCTCGGCCCACTTTTTGATTTCGATTGGTTCACACTCCCTCTCTTTCTTAATATCAGTTTTTGTTGCTATAACAACCATTGGAAACTGCAATCAAAGAATTTGATCAAATTCATTTTACCAAAATTATAATTAAAATATTAACAACAGAAGAGCACCATCCCCTTCATGTCTTCATGTTGGACGAATTTAACTGAACAAGACAGTGGTTAAAATGATGGACTTGAAATCAGTCGGCCACACATTTCAAGTCCCACAATGACCGCTAGACTGCTAGAGTCATTCCTGTGTTTTTAACCCCTTGATCATACTTGTACATGTAAGTAGCCAATAATGGTTTGCCTCTGGCCAGGTAGGATTTATGTTTACTTCAAACCGTTTCTTTCCTTAATTGTGGCCACAATAAAAGCTACTAGGTTGCCAGTACTTGATTGTTCTACCTCCTTATCTTACTTACTTAATTAAAGTAAAGAACTAGTTAATTACTTTAATTAATCACTGATTCTCTATTTATATCTTTTGTTGCCATGGTACACGTATCCTCCTATGGCGAGCACAATTCTCCTGTACAAATTGTAAGATGCGGACGAGGCAGTAGTTTATTCAGGGGCAATTTATCAGGACAGGATACCCATACAAAAATACAGGTAAAGTTGCTGCAAGAAGAGTAAAAGAGCCCATAGCAGTTTACTCAAGGTAATTATCAGGGGCACCCAACGTCAATTTTCGGAAAATATCTGTTCAGAAGACGATTTTTGATCTAGAATTTTCGGAACATTTGTTGTAAAATTTCCTGCTTGCCTCCCTCTCCTAGGATTTTCGAACATCTAAAAAACGGTATAATTGGCCATTTGTAACGTATTTTTACCCTGAAAAGGTCACCTAGAATTATCGGCTGGGCAGCCTTTTTTATGGCTGAAATTTTCGAAAAGGTAAGTTTTGATCCCTATAATTTTCTGATCACTAAACTTTCTGCTAGGAAATCCGAACAGATGAAGAATTTTTAGGGGATAAAAATCTGCCTATAATTATCTACTGTTTAAATACTAAAATACGTTTAACAATGCTATGTTTAAATGGTTTTGAACCGGCTATATTCTCGTTGGGTGCCCCTGAATTATGTTGAAAAAGGAAAAGGTAGAAAATAAAAACAAAAAAACAAACAGCATGGATGCAGACGAAAAAACAACCAAAGACTGATGGTAATGGACTGATAAAAGGTATTCACAACCTAGTAGGTAATGTTTATTAGAAACCTTTAGACTCTAAGGCGAGGATGACTACAAGTACGAGATATTTTCTACACCAAATAGTACTCACATGAGGGCCAACGTCATTTGGGTGGGAAAACGTGATAACCGTTATCATCCTACCTCGAGGTTTAGCGAGAATGTCATAGTTGCAGAAACAAGTTATCAGATGTTAGAAGTTTTACCATTTTGCGATCGGGAGAGGGCTTCACCTCGTCCCCCTTTCATAAAGCTAACATTGCTACCGTAACTATTTATTTTTTGGTGAAAAAAAGTACAACAATTGAAGCTTTCCGGGGGCAGGGGTGTATATTTTAACAATACGCAAAAAAACTTTCAGCCAAATATCGTACTCGTAGTTGTTCTCGTTCCCGAACCTAAAAGTCTCTATTCAGCAACTGTTTGTTCCCTTGTCAGGGCATGCCAATTCCTAACAGTGCTCCAAGTAAATCAGCACTTGCCTAATAAAGTGTGATGTTTTTTCTTCTACTAAGGGTGCAGGATTTCAAGGTGTTCATTACGGCAAGGAAAAGCCTGAATAACTATCACCGTGACTTTCACTGGGAATATTGATGCAAATGCCATGTTTCTTCAATTTGTCTACAAGCCTAAAATCCTTACATCCACAAATAATAGTACAAAAAATCAAAGGACAAACAAGCACACAAAAAAACAAAGATTCGTGGGAGGACTTCAATTTACCACCAATTTGAAACATATTACTTATGTAAATTTCTTTCAGGTGATCTGGGCACTAAAATCAGGAGACTTTATGTGCATGAATGTGCACATTGGGTTCAAAGGATCACTTTCTCATCTTAGGGGTGTTTTCTTGGAGAACAGCAATTTCCTCATTCTTTGACATTGCTTAATGCTATTTTTTTTTAAAAAGTAAGACTAATTATTGTACAGTCGTGCTATGTAAGCTTGAACATACTCACATCCTTTCCTCTGCTCTTGTCAATTTCTTTCTTGATGGCTTGAATTTGCAGAAAGGATTTCTTGGATGTCACACTGAACACAAGCAGAAATCCCTGTGCAAGAAAGAGTCATTGATAAAACGTTTTAGGAAATTACATTCCAGTCTCTTGTCCTTGGACACCCTTGAGATAAGGTAATTAGGTCTGATTTACTTTGTCTTGATTTGCTTTCAGTATATCCACTGGTTATTTTAGTTTCTACACCCTCAAAAGGGTGTCTGAGTCCACTTACAAAACGTGTTCACTAAAGTGAAGTTAAAAATTAATGTGGGTTATGCTAGCGCTGCAGTGAAATTGTGGGCACCACAGTTTGGTGTCTATTTGTAGGAGGTGTCTGCAAGCAAGTGGTGTCCATTAGTGGAGTTTCAGCAGTATGTGAAAAACATTCCTGATGATGGTCAAACAATAAAATTACTTACATCTGCCAAATTAAGATACTGTTTAGAAAGTTCCCCATTATTTACATCCTACAAAAAAAAAAGTACAAACAATATTTCATATATTCAAAAACCAGTCATACATGTATGATAAATAATTACGATAATGCCATCCACCAGTCTCACGCCCAGTCCCTCACAATCACTCATCTGGGGAATTTAGTATTTTATCACTCCCCAACCCCAATTCCTGCTCATGCTCTGTGTTTGATTCATCATCTCCCACTTGAGCTCTGTTCTCATCTTTATACACTCAATTCTAAGCACATCACTTTAAAATCCACACTTCCCACTCAGCCTTGGAAAAACTTGTGGAAGAGGGGAAAGCTTTGCACAGAAGTCCCCAGAGGGTTACATGGTGGGAGCTATCCTCAGTCCAGCATAGTAAGACCTAACGGGGAAAAGGAAGGAAATACAGCCCAAGGCTAAGCATATGCATGTTAATAAAAGACGATAATTTATTGTGTTCATTGGCTTCAATGCTGCCACAAAAAATTCAGGGCTGGTATTTATTGATCTAACAAAAATATTTTATTTTTTCCTCTCATCATATAGGAGGGAAACTCCTAGATTTATAATAAGATGATAAGGTGCAAGGTATTTTTGTTATCATTTAATTTCCTTTTACCATTTTCTTAGCTTAAATAGGTCCGAGTAAAAAAGGTATACAAATTCTGCTGATGCATACTATTTTTAGCTTAATTCATATTTCTGCCATCACTTCCATATGTATGGCTCTTGCGAACTTTTCAAAAACGTTTACCTGAGCCACTGTTAGCAAGGTTTTTGCCCAAAAAATAAAAACACCTTCTTACAACAAGAAAACAAAACAGGTCTTATCCATGTGGCATCCAGTAGACCTTTTGTATCTTGTATGTTTTGTTACCCCAGAAAACTGCTTCTTTCAAGTGTCATCTTATGCATGTGTATGCAAGTGCATATGTAATTCCATGCATAACTTATGAAATTAGACAAAAGTTATGTTGCCTGGAGAACACCATGTGGTCTGAATTGCCATTGGGAAAAAATTCAAGCTAAACAGTCTATTGTGAGATCTAACTGCAAGGCCTAACTTTTAAAAGAGTTGTTAATTATTCGTTCAAATCAAAATTTTTCTTGAGATTTTGACATTTAGCAGCGGGTTGAAAGGTTATTATTAAACAACTCACTGACCAGACCAGCAGTATCAAATATTCTTATCTTCTCCTTAACCCCTCTGTCAGTATCCAACTGAACTTCATAAATGTCCTCAATAGTATGAAATGTTGGCTGAAAATAAAAACAATAACATTCAGCACCTTTAGCAATGACAACAGCCATGACAACAGAATGTTTAAATAAGTAATAAGGTTTATTAAGCAAAAAAAAACTTCGCAAGTGTAGCACACTACTTGGTACATTTCTTTGCCATCACTGTACGACTGCGATGTGAAAATGCCTAATTTCATGTTTTTTGGAGGACATATACAAGGTACGACAAATTTTCTGCCTCTTTCTAAAATTGAGTGCAGCCCCCAAGAATTCACTTATCACTTTTTTAAAAAAAAGTTTAAAAAAATCTTATCTTTTCTTTAAAACCTGGTTTAAAGTCTTTTCTGATGGCTGATATCGGCGAGGTTTGTAGGCGCCCAGTTTTTCACAATTGTATTTAGATCTGCCACCTTTTCAAAATAACGTCAGTTCTGTGTGTAGTTACTTCCCGGAGTAGCCTATACATGTAGATAACGATCGAAATTGATAAAAATCGTTAGTGATCAAGTGATTTTTATTGATTGATAACGGAAAACAGTGAAAAATAATCTAAGGAAATCTTTTAGCCTGAAATTCAGGCATCCCTTCAACTCTAGTAGCCTGAATTTCATCCGATTGCTTCGAGTCATTTTCTCCTCTCAGCAACGTCTGAATCAACCAGCTGCTAATGCCATCCAGTGATGTCGCTACTAACCGGAAACTGGGTAGTGATTTTGATTGGTTGATTGTCTAAATATTTGCATAATTATGTATAATTATGAGAAATGTTAACAGGATTGTCTCTTGATATTCAGAGGATCACATCGGCAGGATGCTTACGTGGACTTCAAACATTTCGATAATCTTTATTGTAAACAGCAAAATTGCCCTTGTCTTTGAAACTGAATTGCTAAATTGAACTGCGAATGAAGAATCATTGTGGAGAGTCGGTGGGTTTTTCATTTAGAGCCGCTTTGTGGTTTCTGTAGTAATTTTGTTGATGCAAATTTTCTGAGACCAATATCATGTTGTCATTTGATCTTTTTGCTATTTCCACCATCAAGTGTAATGATTCTGTTAGCTTTTTGCTCTTGTTTCCTTGTTTTCTTTGTTAAGAACCAAATAGCTTCTTTTCAATTACAGGGAAATGTTGTGTTTTTGAACTAAGTGTTCCGTGGGTGTATATATTTCATTGTGTGATTGTGACCGAGTTTGAATTACAACTGGTTCAGAGTACTGCATGCAGTTGATAGTTTGAATGTTAAACATGAATTATGATCAAAAAGAGTAAAGCAATTGTGTCAGCTGTTCTGTATCATGTAGACATTTCCAAACGATATTTCTTGGTTTGCCACTTGAAAATCGTGTTTTACTTTTTGCATGAATTAAAGGAAAGGAGTGGTGATGTCACTGGACAGCATTTAACGGCCGGTTGATTCAGACGTTACTGAGGGAGTAATAACAACTCAAAGTTATTGGATAAAATTCAGACTACGACTCTAGGGGATGCCTGAAAATTCAGGAAAGGAAATCTTTTATCTGAGGTTGTATTTCTCGTGATACTTGCGTTTTTGTTATTATGTACAAAAGGGTTTTTAGAGAGAATCTTATTATACCTGCCAACTCTCACGCCTGCGGGTTGAAAACTGCGATCTCACGCCGGCTCACGCTTGCGGGCCAATTTCTCACGCCTGATTGAAAAATGTGAGTTGTTGCCGTCTTGCTTGACACAATTTCCAAAAATATGTTAACTCAGACCCATTTAAGGAAAGAAAACCATGTGTAAAATGAATAAATGACAATACCTTCCTCGCGATCTCTGACTTCGAAGTGAAAAGCACTGGGAGCGAGCTCGCGTTTATATGCATCCTAAGACTGGGAGTAGGATAACTTTGATAACTTCGCCTTCGGCAGACTTCCGATGTCTTTGGAAGACTTTGGGCGTCTTTGGAGGACTTCGGACTTCTTCGGGAATCTTCAGAAATGATCGTGTCATCTTCAAAAATCCCAGCACTCCCAGGATAAAAATCTCCTGCTTATATGTCAGAAAAAGTTGGCAGGTATATCTTATGTGTGTTATAGTTTCTACATTTCTTATTTTCATGTTTGTTGATCAGTTGTTTCTCATGGATGTGTTTTAATTCTCAGCTGTACTATCTAACTTAATATGCTGAAAAACAACAATGTCGGACTTCCATTGAAAATCGTTAAAATCATGAAAAATCGATAATATCGATTTGACACAGCAATTTACTTTACCGATTTTCGATTTCCGTTATCAATCGATAAAAATCACTCGATTGCTATCGATTTTTTATCGATACCGATTTTTATCGACTGACTACTCCGGGATGTAAACAAACGTCACTTGTTTATATATCTGTATCTTATATGAAATGAAACCACTACCGGGTACTGACTATTGGGATGTCTCATAAATACCTAACCTCTCTGCGAAAAACAAGTTAAGGTAAGATGAAAGTACTGTAGACAGACCTGTCCTGGTGAATGATTTCCAAAGACTGCCTGCTCGATTACTGCCGTTTTTCCCACACAACTTCCTCCCACAACAACAAGCCGTAAATATTTTGGCATCTCGCATAAACTGCTTAAGTCACCCACGAAAAACTGTCAATCGGCATGCAACTTCACCGATCTTTGCCGCCAACTTAACCTTAGCAGATTCATCAAAATTTCAATATGGCTGCCCAGCCCAAGTGGACTGGGACGATTGGAGAAGAAAAACAACGAGAGAGAGAGAGAGAGAGAGAACTCTGGGAACGAGGAAACAAAAACTGGACGCATTTGCGTGAGATCGGGCTTGGGCAAATCACTGAACACATTTTACCTTTTTTTCTGTTCTCGTAACATATTGCAAGGTATGAAGCAACACTGTTGTATTAGTGCAAAAATTTTAAAAAATCTTTAAAAAATTAAAAAAGAATCTGGTATTAAAATGAATTTTAAAATATGCTTTGTCGTTCAACATGAATATTTAGATTTGTATTCTCCTTGGTAGAGTACTTGAGTTATGATATATGCTTCCTGGGCATTCCAGGATTGATTTCTTGTGGTTTTTTGTTCTCTGACATAATTTGACCTCTGAAGCAGTTTTGGGCACTTCTTTTTACCTCTTTTGAAGCATAAAGCTTTTTATTGTGGCTAAATCACCGTTGAATAGAGGTTTTAGTTTCTAAAAATTTGGAATAACTGCCCAATACCCTGCCTGGGTCCTGAATAACTTGCAACATGTAGTTGTTTCTGTCCGTGACTTGATTGTTACGCTTGGCCTGGCTCGTTTGCGAGTCCGATCAGTATCGATTACACCACTCTTCCTGACTGGGTAATCAAACAGTTCCAACAGAGCTGACAAAAATGGGCGGCATTCAAAACTCATAAGAAATGCGGCAGGCGGGATTTTCCCTCACGGCTTCGCCGCTCGCTTCGTGTGCGGCGTCGCGCCTCCTCCGCCAAGAAAGTACCCCGGGCACAAGAATCCCCCTCAGCTACGCAGACTCAGCGAGATCTTGTCTCTTCTCACCGTCACTGTGGTATCATGGGGTCTATCATGTAAACAGACCAATTTCGATACATTTAAATTCATACTTGGCTGCGAGGCTTGGGGGAATGCAACAAAAGATATTATCTTGAGGCTCAGCAATGAATAATAAATTTCTTTTGTTTTATTCCCCCAAGCCTGGGGGTCAAGTATGAACTATTGTTCATACACTGATGGGTTTTTTCAGATTCTGCTAAAATATTCGTACTTAGTTACTGCTGTTGTCATTACTCTTAGTGCCTGTTTACATGGAGGTGGGGTACCCCAGATAGTTGAGGTAACCCGCTTAGGTGGGGTAACCCGCCTGTCCCTATAATCTCTCATTTTAATGTGATCACATTTACATGTTAGGTGGGGTAACCCGCCACATGTTACCTCACCTACCTGGGGTCCCCTACCTTCATGTAAACAGGCCCTTACTCTAGTCATTACTATTAACTGTCAGTGCTGCGTAGTGAAAATAGAAACAAATGATTTTATCACCTGAACTGTTTCAAGTCAATTTACCACTGGCCGTAGGCGCTATCCCTTTGTCATCACAGTCGGTAAATAAATTCGTGGCACTAACGAATAGATAGTTCGAAAGTTAAGCCGTTGAATAGAGAGGATAAAATCAAATTCTCGTGATTCTCAGTCTCTTGAGCGAGCAGCCACGACGGCCAGAGGTCAGGGCATGGCTGCACACTTCATTTCTTATGGATTTTATGGCAGCGTGCCTACCTCCACTCATTAAAGACAATAGCTCAATAGCTCTAGATAATGTAACCTTTCAGAGACGGACTATCAGAAAACTTATAAGGGGAGGGGGCGGGAGGTTTTAAAGTACAAAAAAATATTATTGCAAGGGAAAATTAAATGAAAAAAAATCATGCTCGCCAAGTAACCGGCCTAAAAAATCGTCATGTACGGGCCTAAAAAATTCATGCGTCTCGAAAATTCCCCACCCCCACCCAATAATATTTCTGACAGGAAGGGTAGGATTTCCATCCGCTAGGAAGGCGCTATATATAACAAGCGGCAAGGTTCTTCATCAAGGTTTAATTATGCCGTAACTAGAACGTTAACTGTATTTTTATTCATCGTTTTCATTTCTCAAGTAACCTTAAATTTTCCTTCCTTTCACATTCTATGAACAATAACTTCAATTATTTGTTTTAAACTATGTACATAGTCAATTTACGGCAATCCAGTTAGTTAGACTGGTACCGTATTAATTAATTTCTTTCTTTCAGCAATGTTAGTATTAGACTACGAGTAGTCCCCATTTCTCCTCAGGGATAGTAAAGCGAGCGAAACGCGAGCGCGCGTGAAAATCAATCCACGCCAGAAAGGCGAGAGCTGCTTCTCGCGTGGGTTGAATTTTCACGTGCGCTCGCGTTTCGTTCGCTTTATTATCCCTGAGGAAAAATGGGGACTACTCGTAGTCTATGTTAATATACTAATCATTTTCCCGGCGCATCACAGCCAGTAAACTTAATGGACTGAATCTTTCCCCGGACAAAGAATTATGTACTGAAAGTAATGTACTCTCGGAAAACTTTAACAAAACGAATGCATCTTATTATAATTATACTAAAAAAAGAATTTACATGTACACAATGACTGTAAGATTTAAAAGTGGGTAATTATTAACGTTATTCTCCCAATACGCCTCTAACAAATTAGAGAATAAATAATCCATTTGACGTTGTGGTTATATGTACAATAGTGTTCTTTCTTCTGTCATTGCAGGAAGAATTTCCTTATGTTCTGAGACATTTTCCTGCTTTGCATAAATGTGAATTACCAAATCAGTCGTCGCTATCATATAAAAACTCCCCCCAATCTTCAATTTCAGGGGGAGGATTTTCGGAGATGGGCGGTTTTGGCGTTTCTTCGTCATCGCTCGATGAATTATCTTCCTCCTTTCCCGCCGCCTTCTCTTGGTCGATTTTTCTCTTGATAGCTTCTAGTCTCAATTTAAGCGACAAATAATCAAAGACTCCAGAGTTATTCTCAAATGGATCCTATAAAAACAAATTGACGGCATCATAAATTAAATCATCTTTATCCAGATTCGACCCTTTTGTTTATCTCCGTGGTTTCTTACCTATGATTCAAACTATCATTTACCAGAGAAATTAGTATTTTTTTGCTTTTTTCTTTTTTTAGAATTTCGCGAGGCCACCACTGGTTTCCCCGCGAAATGACGTCTGAGGAACGAGCGCAAAAATTCCATACTGATGATGCGTTATTACCCAGATCTGGGTAGAGCCACTGATTGGCTGAAAATTTTCTTCAGCCAGTCAGAAGCACTACCCCGATATGTCGGTAGTGATATGTCATATGCGCTCGTTTCTCAGACGTCATTTCGCGGGGAAACCAGTAATGGCGTCGCAACATGTCAGCTGTTTTCACAGGCTAAAACTTAGACTGCATATCATTTTTGTGAAAAAAACAAAACAAAACAAAAAACAAACAACCTCCTGAATCCCAGTGTGTTCGAATGATCGACTGTCGTGACCGACGCATAACGGAGTCCATGAAATAAAGGTATTAGAAATTAACAAGACTTAAATTAACGCGAATTTAATGGGAAACGACTTTTACAAAGTAACATTTCAAAATAAAGGAAGTTACAAAGAAACAAAACTTGTTCCTCAAGAGACAACAGGAATAAGGCGTTGTAAAGTGACTATATCATTCTATGGAAATGGAATTGGTTCTTTTTTGTTTGACATTTTAGATTCATTTAATAAACAGGGAATAAATAAAGAAGGTAAATTATATATAGCAAAGTCAACTGTTGTTTATCTTGCTAGGTATTGTTTTATTTTTCCTTACTCATTGTAAATAAATTGGTTTGGAGGGTTTCTTTAGCTGCCTCTTTTTTCACTGACCTACATGACAAATAAAGTATGTATGTATGTATGTATGTATGTATATCATCCGAAATGGAAACTTTGTTTGTGCTACATTCTAAACGTACGGAGAAGGTCAAGCGAAGAAATCTGACAACTGGGAGGGTTCTTCACAGTTTCAATGATACACTGTACTAGAAGATCTTTCCACAGTTAAAATATTCCTCTTTCTTAGGTGTCACAAACGACAAAAGTTTATCGAGAATTTCGGACCAACATAATGGACATTAGAGTCGTGGAAATTAACGCTACACTTAATTAAGGGCGCGGAAATCAACGTTTACAAAAACTAAAGCGACTTAATTAAGCTCGAATTTTGGAAATTTGCGTTAATTTAATGAAGCGTGATCATCTCATTTTATAAGGTATGCCGATTTTATTACCTTCATTTTCTTGCCATTTAAATGCATCTTCTCGTAAATGATTTTACAGTAACTGTCGTAAAACTTGGGGAATAATTTCTTAATTTTCGTCCTGCAATAAAAATGAGAAAGTTAATGCAGTTTTCACAAAAGACGCAATCTACATGTATTCAACCAGTCCAGAAACCTCGAGAGGAAAATGAATGACAGTACATGTATGTTATCGAAATCTCCTCGACAAAACACTCTCAAAATTCCGATACACTTTGCATCCGATTCACTTAAACAAAAATCCCACAATGGAACAACAAACAAACAACAAAACAAAACAAACAAACAAAGGATTATCCTCCCTTTCCAAACTGGTAAAATTAGATTTGTACCAAATTTGCTTTGAGCAAAAAAGTGCAAACTATGAGTCGATTAAAATGTACATTAGCAGGCAAATGTGGCTGGCAAATTCCATCATTGCCCCTGATCACACTCCTAGTTTGCACATCTTTGCATCATATTTGCCCTAGCCAAATTTGGTGCATTTTTTTTTTCGTTTAATGCCAGATATTTTAGAACACACATGTACGCGAAAAAGACATTCTTAAGGTTATGGAACTGCCAAATTCTGAATCTGGATTTTTTTTTGTTCCATGGAGTTTACCTGTTCCAGACTCCGAGAAAGTGAAGTGCAAGGATCGTGATAACTGCCCCCCTTTACCAGAGCAAGCAAGTCTTATTTTTGCTAGGCTGGTTTTCGTGACGTCCAAAACTATCTAAAAACACCATCTGAGAGCCCGACACAGGCTACAATGGAGTGCACTCAAATACCACTTTCTTTATTTTATTAACACACCAACCAATGCACTGCCAGCTACAATGCTGGTCAACATCTTTCCTGTAGGCCAGGACTAGTGGAGTTTCTTGCTGGGCTCACTTGCCCAGTGGACAAAAGACCAAGCAAGCCATCCTCTAACAAATCATTAACTGTAAGACAAGTACATGTAAGTGGCCCCAGGCAAGTAAATGTGAGAGCTGCTTGCCCAAAGAACAAGCTGGTATTTAATTTTTTTTTTCGAGTCCTGAAAGTGTCTCTAAATTATTACCAGGAGCTGGTTATTACAGTACACGTATCAACATTCCAACACACCTGAGGACTGGGGGACACCTTTGTGCACCTTCTAACATATCGCAGACTGCAACTCGGAGAGTTTCATGCTGAATTACCTCATTATATTGGCTGGAGTCACCTTTGCTTATTTCCTAATAAAAGAAGAAACAGTTATTTTCTTTGGGATATCTTATAAAACCTACTGAGTCATAGACGCCAACATCTGATTTATGATTGGTTCCTAGTATCACCAGCTGTCAACTCATAGTACCTTCAACCTTTTCATATACATTGTAGTCTATTGTTCCATCGTCCTGCAACACACAAACAGAGACACAAAGCCACACAAGCCACAACTGAGATACAAAGACACATAATTATACACTCAGACCATAACATGTAATACTGACCAAATAACAGCCGTATTATAAACACATGCTGTAAAAGCTCATAAAAATGATTAGATGCATTTAAGCCGTTTTAGCTAATAAAAAAGATGTATTTCTGTGTCTTTATGAGTCGTTTTGGAAGGGATTTGAATCCGACCAGAGATGGTTAACATTGCTGGTATAAAATGTTTGTTTGTCTGGCACATCAGACGCGACAGTTCTGTCTCAAGTTAACTATTAACTCTCCTTGGGAGACGATCTCTGGTTTCAATCTAATATATTGGAAACTTGAAATGTAACTGTCACGTCCTATTTACAAAATGCCAGAGAAACAACCATTTGATGCCAGCAATGTTGGCCATCTCTAATCAGATTCAAATCCCTTCCAAAACGACCCATAAAGACAGAGGAATACAGGTAAATACATCTTATTATTTTAGTAGCTAATACAGCGTAAATACATCTAATCATTCTATTAGCTAATACGGTGTTCGGGTTGCCTGTGTTATATACAATGGTACAACAGTGATACACTTTGAGAGCCTTCTTTTAAATTTGCTGTAATGTAAAGTGTCCTTTACTGTCCCAGGTGGTCAATTTTATATTTGCCAGTTCAGGCTACCTGGCTAACTCTCCCTTAAGCCCTGTGTAGACTTCAGGGCTGTCACTTAGAGCCAGGGGGTAGGGATTTTATCTGGCTACTATGAGCATGACCCCCCCCCGACTACCAGTACTTTCATAAGAAACAGTGTAAAAGGAAGACAAAAGCAAAATAACTTCCTACATATAGTTCTTTTATTCTCTGCCTAAAGTCTAATTTGCTTACACCCAGTAACTTGAAATTGTAGTGACAGCCCTGAGTCTTGATCAAAATGATAATTATTTTTATTATATACATGTACCAACCCTGTTTTCATATCCAGGTTCATTGTGATATGGATTCTCATTCATAAGAGACTGGATTGAAATTAGAAGACTTGACAGAGTCTGAGCAGGACTCCAGGCTGGGCCATGCCAAGTTCTGTTAAAGGAACAAAAAAATAGTACACGTACATTCTTCAGGTGCCCATACCAAGCAAAGTCTGAAACATGTTAACACTATTTTCGGCCCATTACGTACATCACAGTGTCTGATGGAAAATTTTGCAGCTGGTTGAAGGGTATAAAGACCTCACTCATACTAAGTACAAAATAATAAGCACAATTAAAACTCTAAGTGGTAGAGGTAAATTAAACCAGTTGGCTATTCACATTATGTCCAGGCATGGCCAATGTGTTGAACTCTCAACACCTGTGAAACAAATCTAAAAGGAGATAGGTGAGGAACTTAAATCCTAGACCTCCACAGACATTCATTTTGCCTCTTTGTCACTTTAATCTTTTTTAGTAAACTCAGCAGCCAGACCTACTGATTTAAGGTATTTCTGTTGATTTTGCATTAGTGAAATCCTTAAGGGTGAAATTACAACAAAAATGGACTTGAATATTGTCTCTTTCACAATGGCTGTCAACAACCATCGGTACAGACTGGAAAATAATAATTATTGACAATCCAGATATGATTGGTTGAATTACAAAGACATCCCCAGCATTAATTTTACTAGATTCTCTAACCTTTTTTGTTTCAAGTCAATTTTCAGGTTTTTTAGCTTAGAAAGGTTCCAAAACTTAATCACACTACCACATCAAAGAAAGCCTTATAATTTCCATCTGCTGATTAAAATCTGTTCTAGGGATCTATGCTGCTGGCTCAATTCAAACAGGCAATAATCTGACAGGCAAAAATCAACAATAGAAAACGCGTGCATCCAGCCATCTGTGTGGCAGAGAAGCATCGGTTTATTTCCTGAATGCAGTGGCTGCATGGTAATTGAGTCTAGTACTTGTACATGTATGTGACCTTCTTTGTGTGAAGTTTTGAATTTGATTCTCACCCTCTTACCCACAAAAAATATTGGCCCTGTGGTTAATTTACATTTTTACGTGTACCTTTTTACACATGGTCTGTTGGCTACTTACCCTAAAATGCTAAGGCAAACCGTGCCATTTGCATAAAGATTGGGGTTGAACCTGACCCTACCCCCACCAGTAGTCATTAGTTTGACCTTTGGAGGTTTTATTGGGTAATCAGGGGTAAAAAAGATCAGAAAGTAAAAGAATCCACCCTCATATGGTGTGCCACGTGGTCCAACAACTAGTGCATGAACCTAAAAAACAAAAGAATATATCACGAGGTTCTTATTACGATTTGTCATGTTAAGCTCACTAAAAAAAGTCCAGGTGAGAAAAGAAAATTAAAAGAGAGACTTGCCTTAAAGCCAGCAAAGGAGCAGGAGGCATGCTGATCCTCACTATAAACATTTGTTTGGAAGGTACTTAAAATGACCACAGTATGACTAACAATCAAGGACAGTGTAGGAATTATCATTACCATATTTCCTTGAATGATAGCCATCACTTGATTTATCGCCTCCCTCAAATAATCCCCCTAAACCCTTATCGCCATTTTCTCCTTCATTTATCCCCTTCACTTACTTTTATTAGATTAAACAAACCTTTGTAATGTCATCTTCATCAGCAGCAATATGAAGCCCTGGTGGGGGTTCCTTGTACATGTTTGTAATATCCCTTTGCAAATCAACCAAAAAAATAATAATAAAATTATGAGAGAAAGCAAAAATAACACTGCATTTGATTACAAATTTGATTAATATGAAGATAACTTTCAAAGTTACAAAATGTGACCTTCCACCGGCAAAAAAAAAAAAAAACACTAATGGCTTTACATTAAAAAGCATGGCTTCTGAACAGGTTGCAAATGGCTCACTCACCTACTCAAACAGGATCTTCGAACGGCTGAACAGGTTTATATGAAGTATTCTGAATGGCTAACATGAACAGTCGAACAGCTTACTCACCAGTTTGAATGGGTTGACATAAATGGGTGAACGGATTTCCGATCAATAATTATTGTGAACGGCTCATGAAGAACCATGGTGTCATGTTATCATTCTGAAGGAAAGGACAAATTAATCTGGTCCAATTTAGGTTATGTTAAAAACTGTTCTGATGTATTAACAAAACAAGAAAGCGGTTAAATTTTGATAAATAGGACTTTGTACTACTTCTATTGAAGCAAAACTCGAATTCAAAGGAAAGTTGCCATTTGTTTATCTTTACTGTGTTGTGCGTGACATCCACTTCACTTACCAGTATTATTTGAAGTTGCACAAAAACAGGGCAGCTTTGAATTTTCCCTGTTGGCTTGTTTTCTTTTGACAGCAACTTCAATGCAGTAAGAAAATTCTTCCGTGCACGATTCTATTTGTAGATGCAATTCTCAGATTACAGTCTCACCAAATTTGCATAAAGCAAACCTGAGTGACAGGTAACACGTACAACACTATCCATTTGAATGAGAAGAGAGTGCATGACACACAGGCTTCTTTAATAATTATTGATTCTCTGTATGTTTTACATGTATGTAAAACAAGTCATTGGCAAAAAAATATTTCATTTGTAAAGTAAAAATGCAGAGAGCAAAAGTGTTCAGGTTTCTTTTGAAATGTTTTGTTTACATAGCATATCTTTAGCTTAGATTTTTCATCTGATAAGGGATCATTGATGCAGAAGAGCTCATAGTCTGCTACATCTGAAACAGCATCCACTCCACGATCACTTGTGTATGCATGTTACTTCAGTAAGGGCAAAATAAGAGTTTAAAGCCAGGGTTGTCACTAAGATTTCAAGGGTAAATACAAAATAAGAGTTTAAAGCTTTGATAAAACTTGGGCCCAAATAAAAGAAAACAAACAACCCTTAAAAAAATTGAAATTCAAACAAATCTTGAAACCACTCAAACCAGTGAAATTTTTTGCACGGATAGCGCGACTCGTCTCCCATGTCATTCAACACAAAATTCAAAGGGATGCTAAAATACGAATGACCAAGCCATTCAAACAGCCTGATGTCTTCAACAAACCGGCAATCAAGTCATTCAAACAGCCTGATGTCTTCAACAAACCGGCAATCAAGTCATTCAAATGGCCTGATGTCTTCAACAAACCGGCAATCAAGCCATTCAAACAGCCTGATGTCTTCAACAAACTGGCAATCAAGCCATTCAAACAGCCTGATGTCTTCAACAAACCGGCAATCAAGCCATTCAAACAGCCTGATGTCTTCAACAAACCGGCAATCAAGTCATTCAAATGGCCTGATGTCTTCAACAAACGGGTGACCAAGTCGTTCGAACTGTTTGATGTATCTAATGAAGGGGTAACTAAGTTGTTTGAAGGGATTGATGTCTCCAATGAATGGGTGACAAAGCTGTTCTAATGGGCTGATGTTTCTAGTAAACGGGCGACCAAGCCATTTGAACGGCTGACAAACGGATTGTAAACGGAAAGCCGTTAGAAAACGGAAAGCCATTAGCGTACGATTTTCAGTGTAAGGTCACAAATGGTATTATTTTAATACCATTTAAGCTCTAAATTTAAAAAATGATCAGCATCAAATCTCTCATGACTCCAAGTGTTAAACCTGATTCAATGCTATGTGAAGAGGAGTGGTCACAATGGCATTAAGAATTTATCAAACATAATCACCATAGAGATTAGTGCCTACTAACATGCATCGACCAGGAAATTGGACTGTCCCACGACTATTTGCGAGCTGACAAAGGATTCTGTAACATGTATATGCAGCTTCCTGTGACTCGACCTCTGAGTAAAGTGTTTCGGTTTTGATAGTCACAAATGCGAGCACTGTTAATAACATGATTGTAGGAAATGAAAGTTACAATAAAATAATAATTATTATCATATATATTCGTCACATGTGTTGAAATTTCACACATTACAATCCCCCCGATATCATATTGATCCAAGTATTACCCATTTGTAAAAACGCGAATCTCAACATTGGGAACATCACAGGGAAAAAGAGAAAGCGTGACATGAGAAATCCTCATAGCCAGGGTTTCGAAGAAAGTTGGGTATACATGCTGCAGTAGATGTAGCCTGATTATCAGACGGCCGAGGTCGTTCGCGGTTCCTTCGCTTTCCTCCGTCTCCCGACGGGAGAGGGAGGGAAGCGAAGGGACCGCGAACGACCTCGGCCGTCTAAGAATGATGACCTTTACAAAGACTTTCGCCACATAACGTGAAACATTATCATGCACGTTACCTCTGGATTCTAAAAATACAAAGTGCTGAAAACTTTTCCTTCGGATACGATGCACGAAAACACGGAGTTCCTGGAGCTTTCGATGTCACAACAGAGGATGCTTCTGCCGCCATCTTGTGTATTAATGACGTCTTATCTAACGGCTTCCTTGTTTCCAGTTTTCTGTGACCTGACTGAGGAAGGAGAGTACCCTGGGTGCCAGAGACTTCCGGTTTCTGTCAAATCTTTACAGACAGCCGTCTTTTGGGACGGACCATTACAAAAGTTATGGGGGGGGGGGGGGGGAATTTTCGAGCCGCAGGAATTTTTTTTCGTTATCAAATTCCTTGTATGAATTTATTTTAGGCCATGGCATGAATATTTTTTAGGATTAATTGGCGTGCAAGAATTTTTTTTCATTTAATTTTCCCTTGCCGGAATATTTTTTTTGTACTTCGACCACCCCCCATAAGTTTTCTAATGGTCCGTCCCTTACAGTGACCCGCGCGAAAAGCCTTTTTCTAAGGATAATGTGGGTCTTTGAACATCTCTTCACGTGCCAGCCCACGTCAACACAGTTGGAGACTTTCAATCTGATTGGCGTAAATCAGGAGCCCATCAGGCTCCTGCGTAAATGTAACCCGATAAAAAGCTCAAAGGTCAACGGGAACGGTAAAAAGCACCTCTCCGTGCCAGAGGTTTTGCTCGCGGCTTCAGCCGTCGGCCGACACCGAAAATTCTCGCCGCACGCTAGAAAAACCTAAAGGAGAGTGGCCCTGGGAACAAGCTCTTTAATAAATTCCATCCACACCGTATTGCTCAGTCTCGCGAGTTCACAAAACCTCCCTCGTCAAGTCGTGTACTCCTTACTGTGAACAAGTTCTGTGTTCCCTCGGTGGAGCAGTTGTCCTCAAAGGTCTGCCTGGGATTGGGGAATTTGTCATTCACCATTTTTACATGGGCCATAATGCACCTTGTTCACCCCCCAAAAAAAAAATTTTGCGTAACCATTAATAGTCTTTGATTTCTACTTGGGATGACTGTAATGCCGAAGATTTGTCGGCCTTCGGCTAGTCTGCTACACAGCCGTTTTTAGTGTCGTCACGCAATGCTCCTCCCCACAGTGGGGAGGAGCGTTGCGTGACGACACTAAAAACGGCTGTGTAGCAGACTAGCCGAAGGCCGACACCGAAAATTCCCGCCGCACGCGAGAAAAACGTCTGGTACCCAGGGTAGTAATACCCAGGAGACATTGGAAATAATTGTTATGCAAAATTTGGGGGGGTAAACAAGGTGCACTGCGGTCTATGTGAAAATGGCGAATTGCATAATTTCGTATTTTCTTTGTGCTGATTAGCCTGAATTTCAGACATGGCTTCGAGTCGCTTACTGAAGGAGTAAGCGACTGAATTCAGGCTAACTTCAGATTACAAAAAAAAATCCCGGGCTATGTGGACCTTGCTCCGGTTGTTCAAACGATGAATAGTGCTATCCCCCGGATATCCACTGGGTAGAGATTTTAGCGGTGGATAGCATAAGTTTTGAACAACTGTGGGCTGTTCGAAACCTAGGAAATGTTTGCAAGACTCGCCCAAATACATTCGCTGCTGTTCTGTGCAACCCGGTGGCGAGGAAAAGCATGTCATTAAATTCCTACTGTACCCATCTACATGTAAGACCCGGGATGTAAGAACCAGAAAGAATACTAGAGGGAAGCTAAAGAGAAAAGAAGGCTAGAAGAGGAACTAGCATACAAGGACTACCATCCTGTAACTTGGGGTATACTCATTAAAAGTAGCAAAGCTAAACATGCTAAAGGTTGATTTCTTGACCGCCTCTACCTTTAGGAACAAGCCGGCTTGACCACTCATACGGTCGGTCTAAAGCTGGACAAGATAAAGGTAATTCGCTGCCATACTATCGACAGGAAACGAGAATGTCGAGGCGATGAAGTTGCTCAGCACTGAGAAAGAGAGTACTAAAGACTCAGATAAGACTCAGATGGACTCAGCAGATGAGTGGCGAGCATAGCGAGTATGCAGTTATTCGAATGCCATTTTTAGCTCATGGATGACTGGCAACACCAATTGAAGAATGAAATTGTTAAAAGAAATTAACACGTCGTTGGAAGAATAACCTGCGATCAGGTGTCCTTCTTCCCTTTTTGTTTGGCAGACGAGCAGAGACGAGGGGAAAAACAACGTCTGATCGCAGGTTATTGATAGAGTAGAGCGTGGCTCATTGTTATATGGGCGAATTGGGTACATTTTTGCCCAGTAACATGGAGTATAGATGCGACTGACTGAAAGTGAAAGAGCTATCGCGTAATCGCGGCTTGAAGATGGGATCTCGTTCATTGTGAAGCTAATAAGCCAAAGAATCCTAGCTATGGAAAATGGATCTGGAATTGTTAAAGCGACTTCAGGGAATATTTATGTTGCTTGGTTTATTTGGACAAACCGACGAATCGACGATTTGTGTTTGTATGTTGTGAAGTGCTCACACAAAAAATAAAACCTTACATCCTTATCACGTTAAACATCCTCGACATTTTTTTTAATATCCTTTATTTTGGCAGTTTTAGCTGAAACTCCTGCCACATACATTTTGATGTAGTGCAATGCATATGCATCTTTCACGGCTTTTACTGAGTGTACATTGCTTCCAATTCAAACGGGAAAGTTATGACGAAAAGTTGGTCACGGCGGTAGCTCAATGCGCCTTTATTGATTACGGAGCCATCTTAAACAAGTTTTATTATATAAACTGCAGTGTTTTACAAGGATTTCTACCACCGAGAAATGTGGTATCTGAACACACGTAAAAATACGATATTTTTACATGTGAAGATATCGATAATTTCACTGACATCAGGTTTGTCTCTTAAATTGTACTTAAATTCGTCGGTGTATCATCAAAACATCTTCGGGTCTTCCTCGAAAGTGCTCGGCAATCTTCGGCAATCTTCGGACATCTTCGGAATTTTTCGGAAATTCTCGGAAAATGTTCGGGAACGTTCGTCTGGTCTTCGGGACAATTTGAAAAATCTTCGGAAATCTTCGGAAGGTGGTCGGAAATCTTCGGAAAATCATCAAAAACGCCGTCATCAGTATGTTTATATAATAAAAAGAATATTACACGTTAGCTCGAAGATATGAATTTTATGTTCTCGTAGCAAGAGCAATATCTCACTCGTTCGCTGCGCTCACTCGTGAGATATTGTTCTTGCCACTCGAACATAAAATTCATATCTTCTCGCCACCGTGTAATACTCTCTATATATTACATTCTGCCAAAACAAAAAGAAAGTTATAACAACTTCTCGACCCCATAGACCGGGGTTTTCAACTTAAAATGAATATTTTCTTCTATTAAGTTGCATCATAAGTCGCATACTTATCCAATTCATCCAAGGGCAGGCTTACAGGAGCCTTTGATTAACTTCTGCTCAACTAAGCAAATGGCTGAAGTTACGGTACATTAGCACGATTGAATTAAAAGACAAAATAAAACAAATCAAAACAAAGAAAAAAAAGAGCAAAAGACGAAAAAATTAGTCCAGGCTTCAGTTAAAGGACGAAGTATTACAGTACATATTAAAACGGAAAAGCGAACAGGAAAAGTGGCATTGGAAATGGCCATTTCACCTTCTGAAAAAACGTTCATTTTCTTTTCGTATCTCATTGCAACAGATGTTCAAGACATCTGGCTTCTTCGGTTCCGGTCAAATATATCTGAAAAACTCTTTTCTTTTCTATAATTTTGTCACGCATGACACTCCTGAGGCTGTTGACTGAGTCTCATTTGTGAGTTTAAAAATGTTTTGCTCACCTATTCACAACTTGGATTTGCGGGTTTTAGCTTCAGTATTTCTTTCTTCTTTGCGACAGTTTTTCGCAACATTTTCAGTTGCCCCACATCGGGAGTTTTGAATAAATGTTGGGTACTGAACAACACTTCGAACGCAAAAATACGCAATACTCAGTTGCCTTTAAGCTACACTGATTTTATTATGTCACACTACACTTTCATTACAATGTTTAGAAAGCTCAAAAATGTTACGCATTAAAGGATGTCAATGACGGTGCCAGGGGAAATTTAAGCCGTCGATGATTATTTCTCTTTTATCTCTCTTTTATCTATTAACCGTTGGTAAAGGTATCCTAATGAGTTCAGTCGCTCCATTTAAGGGAATCCGGATTCCGGAATCCGGAAAATCTAGGAATGCGGAATCACGAATCCACCGCTTGTAACCCAAAATCTAAGACTGTCTTACATATCCTTACATTAGGGCGAGTTCAACCATCTTGCTGATCGCGTCGGGTGTTTCGTTCTAATTCTTGAACTCACATCATGCATGTTATGTCCAAGTTGCGACATAGAGATCTCCCCCGGTCCGCCAAAGATTATCATTGTTTTCAATGCTGTGATTACACTATTTTCAAGGGTATATATAATTTGCAGAGTAATAATTAAAGGTCTCTTAGCACACGAACAAGTAAAAACTAACGCGGATAAAATCAAACTACATGCACACATCGTAAATTGAAGGTAAATGAATATAGAGCCAAGGTATGGGTACCTACGGACGTTGATTTCGTCGCTTGTCTTCAATCAAATCGTCACTAAGTTTTTCATGCGAAAACGTCGCACACCAAGAATTGTTTTGAGTGGGATTAACCAAAACGACGACGGAAACGAGAAAATATTTTAAAAAAGAGGCAGGTTAATAATCACAGCAAAACACTGAACGTGCAGCACACTATTTGGTAGACTTCTTTGCCGTCATTGCACGACTAACGCTGACTTGTCAAACTTGATTGAGATGGCGATGCGATCGTCGCTTTAATCTTTACCATCGTCGCTTCATCAACTTAAGCGATCGTCGCAATTTCGATGTCGTTGGAAATACCCATACAGAGGCTCAACTTAGTTCCAAATGAATATAATTTCAAACTCTACATATTACCTGGTCCTAAAATTTCACATAAAACCCTTTACCTTTCCTGTTTGGATTTTATATTCTTCTAATCTTAAGCTAATCTTAGGACTTTCCGATATTTGACTACTTTATTTAAACCTTTTATCCGTTTCTTAATAGTACACACGTGTTTACGTTATAATACACCTATAGTCTTGAACAGCGAGATTAAACTCTTTGTTTGAAAAACTTGAACATGGTTTTCTATACACGCTGTTCCTGGAAAACTTGGTGGTTATCAAGCTAAACTTGTTTCTTATCTAGCGCATGTCTGGTAAATAAAAAAGAGCAGTGTATTATTTCTAATATACAGTTTTCTCATATTCTTTTCCTGTCATTACGTACTTTATTCATTGATCGAACCCTATTCCTGTAGTGTGGTGTAACTATTTACACTGTTTTTTGAGTGCATTGCGAGAAAAAAAAGGGAAATAATGGAGATAATGGAGGAAGTGACCCGTCAAAGGGTCGATTTTCTCCGTTTGCCTGTCTTTGCTAAGCTACTTTCTCGGCACTTTTCCGTGAAAGTAGCTGATACCTTAAGTTTGGAAATAGATTGAAGTGAAATTGGCCAGTGTAAATCGCACATTGCAGATTGCAGATAGCAGATTAGACTGGTTATAAGCGCAACGCAGTTTTTACGAGCCTTGTTTAAACGTCCACCACGGAGTTACAATCCCTTGCGAAGGTGCGTTGGGTGCTTAAAGGTGTTATCATGCCTCTGTCTTCGCGCATAAATGGTGCCTTCATCGTGCTAAAATGGTGCCCCTTTTCGTGCAAAAAAGGTGCCTTATTGTGGTTAAATGATGCCTCACCGCGACAAAGACACGGCGCTCGAAATGACAGAGAACTATAATCGAGCTTCGATACACCGTTATGTATATCACGCATTGGCAAATTTATGCATTAGAAGTTCACGTTCATAAATATTCATCGGTCAGTTTAAACTTAGAGGAAAATTTAGTATTGATTGTTGCAGGTGCATCTCTAAACGCTTTGTCTATCACTGGTTAAACTCTCGGTTTGTTCTGGCCCCAGTTGTTCGAAAGATGGATAGCCCTATCCACTTGTATAAATTACTCTCCAAAGGATAGCGCTTTTTATAATACTTATCCTCTGGATAGCGATTTATCCGGTGGATAGCGCTATCCAACTTTTGAACAACCGGAACCTGGTCAATAGTTTATTGTATAGGTAAGTGAGATCGAAACTTTATAATTTTAAAACGGAAGTTTAGACAAAATGGGCGATTGGCGTCTCTATATGCTTCGTTGATTACTGTAATGCACATTGATTGCAGAGCAACCGAGCATAAAATCTAGATTCTATGTAAGAGTTGAGCGGAAATGTTAGTAACGGTAAATGCAGCGTTAGACCACTTTTTGCAAAAAGGATGTCACCAACAGCGTGCGCATATATGACGGCGAAATATCACACCGTTGGAAAGAGAGCCTTCGAAATTACTGCAGGCTTACTAAGTTTTGCCAAATATTTCAGAAGCCGACGGTACCAGAATTTGCAGAATGTTTGCGCCCCTCACCAAACAGACGTTTGTGAAATGCAGTAAGTCTGAAGTTTTGTTTTACGGCAACACTACTCTCCAACTGCTCCGATATCAAAAATGGAAAAAAAATCGTGGAAGAATCAAGTGAGGTTCAAGAGAGGTTCTTGTTGATTGAGGTAAGAAAACAAGAGTTTTGTCAACTAAAGGGGATTCAGTTACTAAATTTCCTGCCGTCTAGTCTTTGGAATTATCTACTTTTACAAATCTGTAGCGAGGATAGGATAATTTTAAGAGGTTCAATTTTTTTTCCAAAACCACGTTTTTTACTATTTTCCGCAGGGAAAACGCGCTTAATTCGGGAAACAAAAACAAACAACAACAACAAAAAAAACAAAAACAAAAAACTGTTCACTTCTCATAAATATCCCGATTGCAATGCCAGTTGCTTTGAAATCAAACAAAAAGTTAACTACCGATAAAAAAGCAGTAGTTTTCCTTTTAGGTTTTACTTTAGTTAATGGATGTTTTATTGATAAGAAACATGCCGTTAACTACCTGTGAAGTAATATTTTCAAACTACAACTGTTTCACCGGCTTACTTGAATATTGATTGAAAGACTAAGGGCACAAACTGACCGAAGGTGATTTAGAAGTTATCTTTTAGGTTGTTTCGTAAAATGTTTCTATTTCGTCTGGAGTAAAATAATAATTACTTCCTCCTGCCAGAAATGTGTGGGTGAAGGTGTCTCCATAGTTGTACCCGCTTGGTGGGCTGTAAGTATGACCAGGGTAGGCAAGGGAACTGCTGCTAGTTGACGCGTAGTTGACAATTTCAATGTCATGGCCGTTTCCGAAAGTAGGTCCATAAGACGAGCAGTCGTATATGGAGTAGGCATTGTGCGAACTATACACCCCTCCTGTCTGAGGAAGTTTCACAGGCGCCCATCCTGGTTTGTTAACCAGCGAGAAAAGAAATGCCTGGGCATCGTATCGGTACCCGGGGCAGCTGCTGGAACCTGTTGGGAAAATAAGAAAAGAAAAATGCTGATAGAGATACAGACCCTAATGTAAATTCCTCGTTTTGGTAATAAAGGGACTAAACTATAAAATGCTTTATCGTCTTGTTCTGGTCCGCGGTCTGCTAGTGGTAGCTGCGAATCTAGCTCGACATTATTATCAATAAATATATTATCATTATTATTATTATTATTATTATGGCAGTAAAAACTTCTGAATTAAAGCTCTTAAGTGAGAAAAAAAAAACACGCCGGGTGCATTTCATAACCTGTGGACTAAATCTAAAATCTGGAACACTCTTAAAATCTAGGTATTATGTATAACCAATAAACTACATTAAAAATGTTAAGAAAAAAATTCAAGTTCCTTTGCCACTTGTTAAAAAAAAGTACAGAAACATAAGTCAGAAAATTGCCTAAAACGTATTGAAAACAACAACTAAAAGTTACAGAAAATGTGTTGAAAGTTGCTTAAAGATACTTAAAAAATACCTAAAATTGCTAAAATTAAAATTGGATTACGCCTTATAAGATAATCATAACTTTCAAGTCTCTTAAAACATAGCTCAAAGCTATGCAAGGATTTTAAATGATCTTGCAATGTTCAAAGAGTGTGACAAAACAATTTTCTCCATTTTTCTTAGTGTCTTCCTTCCTGGCCTTTCTCTGATCAGTGACTTTATACTCTTAGCCGTGTTCATAGATGCACCTCAAATAATGATATTATCACCCCTGGGTCACTTCTGCATCTTGAGCTCAAAACCGACGAAGTGGCACCAATCTCATGGTCTTCTCCGACTCCTTTGCTTCTCTGTTTTCCATCCAAGGGCAGCTAATTTCTAGCAGTGTGAATTTCTTATCTTCCTTATTAATTATTCTGACATTCATTGTGTTTACTCTGACTTCAGTGTTCTGTGCATAAACTGGCACATCCCAATAAGCTTTAGTTCTCTGGTTTTCGTTCGGTGGGAGAAAACCAAGGGGGAATATTATCAGTTTTTTTTAGCAACTCAAAGAGAATTGTGCCGAGCGAGGTATTTGGTCTGCGCCAGTGCCGAGCAGCCAGCCAGCAAGTGCGGCGTGGACTCTTCAGCATGTGACATCAGGTAATGGTTCAATCCTTCTTCTCATGTTGATAAACTTTCGTTGAAAGGAGCTGCTGGACGGTACAATTCCTGTGCGCTCGTGATGGTGCTAGACGGCTGACTGATCTCCAAGCTGCTAGCCACGCAAAAAAGTCACCGTCCAAGTCCTTGTTATTCCACCTCGTTGCCACTAGCAGTTTCGTTGCCAGTTTTCACTGTTAACTTCTTCTACTGCTCACTTTTTCTTTAATTTTTTCTTGGCACATCTCCCAATTAATTCCTTAGAGTAGGCGCACAGTACTGGAAATGCCTTGTAAAGCCTTTTCATAGTTTCGAATTGGAGAAAGCGACGTGATCGTCTCAGTGCTGCTGTCATCCTGTAACCCCTTTTCCAACTGGAGAGAAATATGTTCCTTAAAAGGAAGCTTTTTGTCCAGAGTTACTCCTAAAATGGTTAAGTGTTCAGAAACAGATACGGACGCATTATCGATTCGGAGGGCGAATTCATAATTTGAATGACCAAGGACGAGAGCTTGTGTCTTGTCTGGGTTTATTGTAAGATAATTTACATTGAACCAGTCCGATAAGGAGCTTAAGGCATCGTTAATTGGTGACAAATTCTAGGACGGCTGCAGACGTATCAGCAGTATAGTTACATAGTCATATCATCCGCGTATAATCTTACCGAGGTATTTGAGCAAAGTGATTTAAGATGCTTTAAAAGATATTGAACAGAAGAGGGAAAAGAAGAGAGCCTTGGGGAACACCAGCACTGATGTCTTTCCATTGTGAAAATGTTCCTGGTATCTTGAATCTTTGTTGTCGACCCTTAATGTAGGCGGCTAACGAGTACAGAGCACTATCTGCCAGCCCATACGCCTTAAGCTTGGCCAAAAGGAGATTGTGACAGACAGAGTCAAACGCTTTGCTTAGGTCGACTGCTACGACGGCAACATTAATTGACTTCATTGTTCAAGATTAATGCGCCAGGCTTCGGTCATCTTTAAAAGACAGATGGAACAGCATGAGTGTCCTTTAAGGAAGCCAGAAAGGTTCAATGAAAAGTGTGGTCGAATGTAGACACATAATTGGACATAAATAACTCTCTCGTACAATTCAGCCATGCTTCCAAGCACAGAAACAGGTCTGTAGTTTTTCTTGTCTGTTGCATTATGGTTTTTGAAGATAGGCGAGACATTGGTTCTTTTCAATTCCAATATCCAATCGCGTTTCTCAATAAATTTATTAATCAACTTGACCACTTCTTTTGCTTTTGCCGGAGCAGACAGCGATAGAACTCGAGGAGAAATGCTGTCAACGCCCACTGATTTACTTCGGTCTAAATCTTTCAAGGCTTTTTTTATAAAGACTAAGTCGACTGGTTGGAAAGAAAGCAGTCTTTCATGATGCCATTTTTAAGTGATCTTTTGAACACTAGGATCTGATTAAAATCAGACAAAGTCTTAAGGAAGATAGCAACAGTTAAGTACAGAGTCAAGTATAATTTATGCCCTTACTATATATCTGATATTTTTTATTTAATAACCAACCGAAGTTATAGCCTGAGAAATTCAGACAATTTTATGATTCTAGTATGCCTACTACCACCTCTGGGAACTACAGTATTAGATATACTGGTCCTATAATATGGTGCAAACTAAGGGACTTGTTAGAGATTAGCAGGGGGGAGAGGGGTGGGAATTTTAAATTTGGGTTCGGAAATGAGGTGACCCATCCCTGCAATGGGAGTGAAATTTGCTAACCCTTCCCTTGACCTTGGCCTAAAATATCATGACCCTCCCCCTCTTAAATGATAAAATCTAGTTCTTGCAATACATTAGGATAAGTCAGTATTATGAAAGCTCAAAATATAGTCTAATGTGTTCTTTCTAATGCCATATACATACATTTTAGATGAAAACATTAAGAGTCCGACTCTGATTCTGACAGCTCATCACTCGACTCTCCTATTTCTCCCAGGTTTTTTTACAAAAAAAAAGAACTTCTGTTTTCTTCTGTGAGTGAACCTCTACATGATCACGGACACATATTTTCATGACCCTTCCCCATTTAACAGCCCATTTTTCATGACCCCTCCCTTTTCCGCAGTCTCAAAAAGTTGTGACCTTCCCTCTGTTTCCACGCCCCTCCCCCCCTACTAATTTCTGACAAGTCCCTAAGTATGCGCATTAAGAGCTCTGAAACACTTGCTTCTTTTAAGAACCAGCAGGTGAGAGAAGTGGACATTGAGAACCACCCAAGAACTCTCACCTGTAAGAACAGTAACTTGTGTAACTCTTAGAATAAATAATGGAACGGTTAGGGTTTTCGAGTTTGTATGTTCGTTTGTGTGTGTGTGTTTTTTAAATCTAGTTAGGTGTTCACAATTAGTTTACAGTGCGTGTAAGCTAGGCATTTTGACTCGTTTATAAAGTCTTTGTTGGTAATGTGAGCCTGTATCACGGTAACGCTGTTCGATGCACTTATTGATCTCAAGACGACAGCCATGGTTAGTAAGAAGTCTAGACTGGAAACTAGCCGACGTGATTGGTTAAAATTAAGCATAATTTACAATTACTGGATTCGACCTTCGCCCAATCCTCCATAGATTCCCCCTCCCAGTAAGGACTGTGGTGTCATATGTCGGTTCCTTGTATCTTTGAATTCATATCTACCATTCAATGCTGTCAGTTATAAAATGTGCTTGAAGAAATGCTTTTTCATTTTTTCCCTTACTTTGCTTTTCCTTTGTTTTGACCATGATATGGATGTTCAATATTAGAGATGTACATGTAGGCTGACGTTGGCTAATGCACGCTTTCATGAGATGCATGCCTTGCCTAGTCCTTTCAGTGTGCTGCTAACTGTATGAAAATGGGTGGCCAGGCTTGCAAGACCTGAGCAATTATAATCACATCATTCTAAACATAAAACAGTGCAACCCTCATCAAACAGTTTTCACCTACAGGCACGTCAAGAGAGGTACTACACAACAGCTAGCAAAGCCTAGAGACAAATTGTCATATTCATTAATTAATAGTAACTGAATTTCTGCACATAAAGTGAAGTTGACTGATTGTTGATGATCTTGCTAGGGGAGGTTCATACACTTTGGCATTGGCGGAGAGTGTTGATTAAGATAAATTCTTCTAAGGTCGTCATATCCTTTATTGTCACAGTGGAGACCATCGATAATTCGATAACCTTAGATTTACCTATTTCGCTGCCCGCCAACAAAATTCCAGAACAACGCGAAAAACTGGCAGTGCTTGTTTCCAGGGGAAAATTCAAAGAGGCGACCGGGTCCCAACTCATTAACAGGAGAAACCCTGTGGCGAAATATTATAAATTGCATGAGCACCAAGACTTGGCGCAAGACCACCAAAACATTGATTACAATAGAGCTTTTTGATGCGCGGTAGAAAAGCAATTGGTATGTTCGTCAAAGTGGATGGCGTGGAAGCTTGCAAAAGGACATGCAAGAAGAATTCATAATTAACTCGGTGTTTTCGTGGAAACTTTGCAAACGGACATACAATAAGCAACTTGATTTTTTCATAATCAACTCGGCGTTTCCGTCTCTGGCTGGTATTACAGCATTGCGCAGCGGCCGCCTGCTCGTGGTTGCCAACGCCGCTCTGAATTTACAACCAAACACATTGTTTTTGAAAAAAAAAAATACTTAAAAAGCAGCCTGCGAAAAAACCTGGACAATAACTTTATGAAGAACCTGGACAATGTCTTGTCTAAGAAATTCAAAACAAAACTTTTTAAAATTATTCTATATGGAAGAAAAAGCTGATGCAACTCCCGAAGTTCCACCCGCTACGTTTGAAGTTCCAGCCGCACCCATTCAAGTTAGCTCAAAAGTCAAAACTAACATGGCTTGCAAAAAATCCTGGCTGAGTTGCGGCTGGTAAAATATTAGAAGAATATAACCACTTATATACAACGGTGAAAGTCATCAGTGTCAGGCTGACTCATCCCTGTGTAATACAACTTTCTTCACGTTGTATACTACTACTTCGCCTTATTTGTGCTTAATTCAAAGAAAATCAGAGAGGAAGTCGTCTTCGTAAATACTTAGTCCTAACCCACTCCGACACACATATTCATCATTTTCCCATTACATTTGTTTTAAATTCATGTTGTTATTTAAAAAGCTGTTAATTTTCTTAATAGTATCAATCGGACCTCCATGCATGAAACAACGTTACGATTACGAATACGAATACGATTCCCTAATGAAATAAGCCTACAGAATTGTTGTTAAACATACAAACCCGAATTACCAAACATTGTTTTGCTGAAGTGGAGAAAGTAAGTAAAGAGTATTGTTGGAGATGGGACGGTCGGGGGTCCGTACGCCAACAATACCTCCAGCTTAGTATGCGCAACCTCGGTGTGATACTAAAGGGTGGCCGGCTTTGTATGGTGTTTAGACTGTTAAAAATAAGATCACTTACCACTCCATGAGAGCTTAGTGTACCCTCCAAATATGTACGTCCCTCCCACTCTTATTATTGTTACAGTTGGTCCTTTGTTGTCACATCGGCTGTGAAAAGTACTGACAGCCCAGCCATCCACGGACGCACGCCAACAGCGCTTCCATTTTGAAGATTCGCTTTGGGCGACTGGTTTGAGCCATGTGCTTAAATTAGCTAAGTGATGCACATTATCTCCTACGATAACGGAGTCAGTCAGTCCCTCTGGAAAAACTGATATAAGGGAAGAGAAAAGAAAAGGTGATTCAGGTAACATTTTTTTTCGAAACTGATATCACTGACAGTGAAACCTGTATTAGGCGGACACCGTATTAAGCGGACAGTAGCCGAACTCCCCAAATTTATTTCCCTTATTGACTTTATATGAAACCTTTATTAAGCGGACGTGGACACCTAAAGGGTATCTGAAATGGTCATTTCCATTGTTGACAACTTGTATTAAACGGACACTTGTATTAAATTCTACCACCCAACCTGCCAGACTCCGGAAATGCGAAAGATTGCCACCCACAAATTTTTCGATTTTTACATTAAAAAACGTGTGTTGACGAACTTATTTGACTAGTTTCACAGTACAGTATTGTTTTCTATTTCGTTGTTACTACAGCAGTGCTGTAGTAAGGAGTTTTCAGTATTTATGGTCAGCGGTTGTTACCATTTTGCTTAGGACTCGTGTTAGTTGCCGCCATGTTCTTGTTTATCACATGTGTGATTTAGGTTTACAATCCATGTAATCCTTCGCTCATCCGTATCGTGTAAGGCAGACTAAGTTGTTATCTGAAGAACTGACGAGTTAAAGATTATTTGGAGATAAAGGAAAGATCTGACGATTCAAGTTTTTCTCTTTTTCTTGTGAATAACAACGAAACTCCTTCGGATGCCAAGTACGACTTTCGAGGGCAGCCACATTCGTTTTGTTTGTATACAGCTTGTTTCACTCATCTGAACATAAATGAACAACTTGTAACATGAAATACCGTAAATAAAATACATTAATTGCAATCATTCATTTAAAATATTTCGCCGTTTCTGATTGGGTCAAAGCCCCTAATCAACTGGCGTTTACCATGTTTGGAGGATGGAGCAATATGCTATAAAATCGAAGGTATAATGCTCGAATCTTATAAATATTTAATTGATCAACTTCGTTTCCAGGTGCGGCTGCCTAGCTGATTATTCACTAGTGAACTCTGAAAAAAAAAAAGGCGTTCACGCCTATCCGGAACTGCTGAATTTTAAACTAAAACTGAACGGAAGAATTGCAATAATACACAAAACAAATCACTAGATGGATGTTATCTACTTTTTGGGGAGCACTGCAAGACTGTGCCGAGAAATAGGCCAAAGATTTGAGGAAAGTCTTCGATGAGGTGAAATTGTTGAATAAGAATTAAGAAATATAAAACAACGAATGTAATGTCCTACATCCTTATTCAAATCTAATCCTTATTATGAGCTAGATGATTTAAATTTACGCTATTTGCACGTTGGACGGAAGTGAGGTAGCGCATCAGTCTTAACTGGCGGCTCATGATACAGAGTTATTTAAAGGTCAAAAATGCCATTTTCAGACATTTTTGTTTTGCTGACTGGTTTGGGGGACCTAAAAGATAGTCTAAATTCACTCCAAAATCGTCGGTGAAAACGCCTTGTTAAGAGTACAAGGAAGTTGCTCGCTCCTTGCTATAGCCTCCAGCAAAGGCATAACATGAGGTATGACGTCATACAATGCTGGATACGAAAATTTACCGGCGGATTTAGCGGATTGCCGGACTCATTATCCACCATTTTGAACGCTACGATGTCGCACGTCCTTAGGAAACTTCTATAATTAATGTTATAACAGTAAAGTAACTGTCCTTTAGATTAGCTAATTATTCTCTCCTACCTCTGCAAATTTTTCCATCGCCGTTGTATCCTGCCTTGCAGGTGCAGATATACGATCCACGAGTATTGGAGCAGTTGGCATTGACGTCACATACAGGAGAAGAAGCACTGCACTCATCAATGTCTAGAAAAACAAAAATATTGGAGTTCCACAAGGATCTATCGTAGGCTCCTCGCAAACAAAATAAAATGAAATAATAATAATGAAAATATTCAACCTTTTTCGATCCCCGTTGAAAACAGTCTGAATTTCCTCAACCGGGGTCCACGTCAGAACTTTTCAACGTTTTTCATAGATCTCTCATAATTCTCTCGTAAGTATAACCCGAGGCATATGATGTCATGCACTGCCGGTATATAAAAGGACTGGATTCGATGGATTGCCGATTTTGACTGGTCGTTACAAGTCCCTGGGAATCTGCCATCTCCGTTGTTATCACACGGTAAAACGACGTTTATCCTACCTTGGCAAGTTTTTCCATCGCCTGTATATCCTGCCCTGCAGGTACAGATATACGATCCACGGGTATTGGAGCAGTTGGCATTGATGTCACATACAGGAGAAGAAGCACCGCATTCGTCAATGTCTAGAACAACAAACATATTGATTGATGAAAAAAAAAAAAACAAATTGAAGGGCATTAACTCAGGCTCTAACATGTGATGCGAGGAGTACCCATTCTTTTGTGTCATTAGTCTTTTCTCCCCTTAAAATTTATCTTTCTTACTCCATGTCTTATCAGTTTAAATCTCTCGGTTAATTTTTCATCAGTCGCCACATCTGTGACTAAATATGAAACATTTAAGTCAGTTGTCTAATAATCATAAATTAACTTATCAGAGGGCACAATCAGCTTAACGGTGGTCCCCGATTATATAACTGACTAAACTCACCGTTGGTCTCCATATTACAATAAGCCAAGACAGATGTACCAGATTTTATAGTGGAAAACCAGTATTTCCCGCTAACAGCGTGTCCTTCACTCCTCTTTATTTCCTCACAAGTCTCAGCTGGTAGTTCTTGAATCGAACCAAGGGGAACTGAAAGGTTAAACAACAATTCTTTATTATCAGTTTGAGTTTACCCTTGCATAGTTTTAACTTTATGCAGGGGGCGCTACTCAACAACGTTTTATACAGGGAGGCTCCGCCCCGAGGTCCAACGCCTTACCCTTTTATATAACGTTTTTGACAAAAAAGGTACCCCTTTCGTATTCCTTCCATTCACGAATGCTACCTATTGAACATACCTATTTCAGAACTACCGTAAAATTCAACGTTAAAGCCCCGGGCTTTTATAACTTCATAAAGAGTTTTGTGCTGTAAATGCTCTGTCTTTTAAACATGAATAAGCACAAAACCAGAAAAATACCCGTCGCTTTTTCTCACTCGCATAAAATGCATCTGTTCGCTCGTTTAAGCCATTTTATAGGCCTGAAGAGATGACTAACTTTCCTACGCTTTCATATACTTCATGCATTGGAATTTCTTATCTCTTTGATATATAAGATTACCCCCGGCACTTAATGATGGCTTACCTCGTTGTAAATCGCGTCGATAGTAAGATCTGTCTTGGTTTGGAATAAAGTCTTCAGGCCTGGCTTCCTTTGTCCTGTTGTTAAACTCGCACGTGAGAAGAGAGATAACCCAGTTAAAACTTTGGCATCGATTGTCTTCGCGACACTTGAATACGCACGTAAACGGAAGTTCAGCGAGAAGAGTGTCGTACACGTGTCCTCGTAACATCCAGCCCACAACAGAGCTCTCGGATCTACCACCTGCAGGACATTTTTGAGTTACCGCGCTGTAGAGCAGGAGAGCCAGAACAGATACACGGAACACTATTCTTGCCGTCATGTCTGGAACTAAAGAACATAAAAGTATTTTGTTAAAACACAAACTTTACAAAAGGTGAGCTTATAACCGATTAATTCGTCGAACGTTTCCGCCTGGGGAAAAACTTGCATACTGCAATCTAAAATAGCCAATTTTCAAAGCGAATTTGATAAAACTTGTAGAAACCATAACAAAACATTTTTTTTTTTCGAAATAATTTATTGGTTATTTCTCCTTTTCAAAATCCACCTGCTGGTTGTTAGCTCGAGGAATTAATAAGCCGATAAAACACTTTAACAGGAAAACTTACTCGAAGATGGCTGCGTTTTCGCCATTTTCTCTGTTGTCACACGCACTTTTCTCCACGAATTTTAAATTTTACCGCCGTACATGAGAAATTCCCGGATGTTTCGCTGCATTCTGTGCGATGAGTTATTCTTCTACTTGTTTTAAAACTCAAAATACAAGATGACTAGCTAAAGGAAAACAATTGTTGACTCCAGACGACAATTATTATTAAAAAAACAGAATTACTGCTTGAAACTTTCACTAGTTCTCTTCACCCATACCCCGCAAAAAAATAATTTTAGTATGTACATTTCTAAGTAAGGCAAAACTTTTATCGTTAAAACCCAGCAAAATGAAAGACCCATAAAAGTAAGTGAAATTGAGAAAACTTAAAAATAACCTCAGAAAGTAGAGAAAAAGCACTTGGAGACCCTCAAATCAGGTTTCTACGATTCATTTGTGGTACGTATGCAAATAAGCTTCAACCTTGTTTAGGTGTTTTTTTTGAAGAAGAGTAAAGAGTGGCAGAGGAAATTATGGTACTAAACTATAACTGCTGGATATGGAACAAGCGCGTTTTTAACTAGTCTTACAATCAAAAATTTCAGTGAAAATCCTTTTTACTCGCATTCACGTGTATCTTTATTTCAAAGATTATTTTAAAAAATTTCTTGCACTTACTAAAGACGTTCCTGAAAACATACAAAGACTGAATTTTTGTGGAATTAAGATAGGACTTATAATTAATTTATCATGATAGAAGACCAAAACCTGAAAATATCGATTCCTCAATCCTTCGGTCAGTAAACCCCATGTCATTATGGGGTGGTAGCTTTTACCTTTGACGGATAATTGTTTCCAATTTTGACGGCTAACTGTTAGAATTTAGAGGTTTTGACGGTTATTAAGTGGAAATTGGGTCCAAAAATTGACGTAGATATCAACTTCTGTATGAATTAATATTGTCTGATGTGTTTGGAGGTTCTCTTGGCCTTTCACTCACTAAATTTCAAAATATTTTCAGACATAAGCAGGTTGTAAGGTACTGTATTGTCTAGAAAGAGTGTTTTTGGCAAGAGAACTGGTTTTTCCAGTTTGAAATTCTCTAGGAGCCGGAATTCCGTCAAGATCAGCTGAAATAGTAAGATTTGAAACACCTAGAAACTTTTTGACGGTTAATCGTAGACTGGATTTTTGGCGGTTGACGGTTGAATATAACATCTTTTGACGGCTGACGGTGATGAATTGTCAGGCCGTTGGACGACTGTCGGTAAAACCCCATTGAGACCTTCATACCAGGCAAATTATTGCGCCATAAGCTACACGAAAATATCGGAAGCCCCTGGTTTCTGTTCCATTTAAAATAATTATTCTGAAATTGACTTAATAAATAAATAAATGAGGCTTTTTTTTAAAGTTCCAACACAAAAAGAAAATTTTAAGCTTTATTCACACTTTGTTTTCGTTTTCTTTGGCTCATTGATTGGTTTCTTTTTTCTTTCTCCTAACCAAAACAACGGCATATGTACCTTCAGGAGCTTCTAATAAACAAATAAACAACTACAACGGCGACAACATGAAGTAAATTTGCGTCGTTTTTCTCGGCTAGTTAAAATGCAGATCGACTTGAAACAATAACAAAAACAAAACAAAAACCACATCCAAAATGGGAAAGAAAGCAAAAAATCGTTTGTTGACGTCTTTTACAGACCGTAGTCTGCACAAATTTCCAAAATGTGATGCATTAGTGGAGAGTTGCAAATTTAATATTAATTAATTATTAAAAACAAACACACTGCAAAATGTTGCCATTAGTAAAATGCATTAGTTTTAGGGTATTAAATTCATATAGCAGAGTAAATTGATCATCAAAAGTTGGCATTCTAAACTAATTTTTTGAAATAAACACTTTGACCACCGGTCATTTCGCTCCCGGTCAGACTCAGCCAGGGGCGCCCCCGCACAGTAATATTTTCCTTTTTAATAAAGCAACTTTTTTACATCAACAAAAAATTGTGCCGAAAATGTAAGATAGAACAGAACAAAATTTTCAAAGGAGTGCTTAACGCTGTATCAATGTTTTCTACTCTTTATCCTAAATTTTAAAATATTTAGTACCCCTGATCAAAAAAGAATCAATAGTTATTTTTTTTGTGGAGGTTTAGAAAAAAATCCTATATTGAAGAAAAAGCAAATTCAATGATGTAGTTGCATGGTTACTTTTAGTAGGTGATCGAATGGAGAAGCATTTAAGTCTTACACGTTTTTGTTTTGTTTTGTTTTGTTTTTTCAAAATTATATTTCAACGACGGTCTCAATTTTTAAGGAGCATGAATAAAAATTAGCAGGTGAATTAAGTATTTAAGTCACGAGATTCGATGTCAGGTTTGCAAATAATAGGACCTCAAGTTACACAAACACGTTGTTGAATTACTTTAGAATGTTATTTATCTTCCTAATAGACTGTAGATTCTAAATTACATTTTCTCTCTTGTATTGATATAGTTAATGCATTTAGAATGTCTGAAAATATTTGCTGAAGCATACATACGGATAGCATCAGGCATCACAGTCTACATCGTGAACATTTACATTAGAAGTTTCCCTTTAATGATAATTATAAGTTTCTCTAACTGTTGCTAAACACTACGCACATCAAACTTTCATTTGGTTATCGTTACTTGTGTAACTCTTTCTAATCTTCCTAGATTCCACGCAGAAATGTTGTTTGGGTTTCTCCGTCTTTTAATTTATTAGCATATTGCGTAATTGACTCTTAACCCACACTCAAGCCTTTTGTTATAATCATTGTGAACAGCTTTCTCGAATCATCTGTTTTGTTAGAGAACTAACTTGCTTGGGCAAAGCATTATGAGTGTTTTACTAAACCACACTTTTCCTAAAAGTCGTAAAATTCGTTTTTATTCTTTTTATGTCCCATTTTTTTACCATCTATGAAAATGCATGTCATTAAAAAATAGTGTTCAGTTAAAATAAGCGCCGGAGTCTGTATATTATTTAACAATAACTTTCCGAGAATTAGAAATAATCAGGCAATATTCTGATCAAGAAGGAAGATTTGTTATTATAGACATGAAAATAGATAACAAGGTTTTAACTTTGGTTAACATTTATGCACCGAACAAAGACAATCCTACTTTTTCCCCAAATCTTCTCGATCATCTGCTCTCTTTTGAATGTGAAGAAATTATTATGGGAGGAGACTCTAATCTGGCCATGGACGTTCAGAAGGATAAAAAATGAGGAAACGCGACAACGCAGAGAAATTCGCTTAAAGAGGTTCAGAACATAGCAAACTCGCTGGACTTGATAGATGTGTTGCGAACCCTAAATCCAGACGGTAAGCGTTTTACCTGGCGGAGAACTTAACCTGAAGTGCACTGTCGTCTCGACTATTTTATGATCAGTTCGAGCTTAATCACAGCAATCACAAATGCAGAAATTTTACCGGGTTATAGGACCGATCATCCCCTCATTACAATCCACCTTGCTGGTAATAATAACCCTCGAGGCCCGGGTTTCTGGAAACTCAATACGTCTTTTCTGTTGGACAGCGAGTATATTGAGACAATTAAAAAAACTATTGATGAGGTTTCAATGGAGAACAGAAACAATGACGATGTAGATGTTGTCCTCCCCTGGGACACTATGACGATGCAGATTCTTTCTAGATCGCTAAAATATGCAAGAGAGAAAAAAGGCTAAAAAAAAGGAAGAAAACGAATTCTCACCAGTTTGTAGGAGTCGCGGCGGCGGTAGTGAGTATCTTGAACCTTTTTCCGTAGTTGATGCGTTCACGAAGAGTAAGGGGTGTCCCCGATAACGGAATTCGTCTTAAACAGTGTTGCAATGGTGAGAATTTGATATTAATTAATATTTAATAACAAACACAATGTAAAATGTTGCCATTAGTAAAACGCATTTTTAGTTGTAGAGTATCAGATTCATATAGCAGAGTAAATTGATCATCAAAAATTGGCATTCTAAACTAAATTTTTGAAATAAACACTTTGGCCACCGGTCATTTCGCTCCCGGTCAGACTCAGCCAGGGACGCCCCCGCTCAGTAATATTTTCCGTTTTTATTAAAGCAACTTTTTTACATCAACAAAAAATTGTGAAGCAAATGGAAGATAGAACAGAACAAAGTTTTCAAAGGAGTGCTTAACGCTATGTCAATTCTTTTTACTCTAGTAAGTAAGTAAGTAAAACGTTATTTACACGAAGTAGCCCATTCAGCTCCAAGGCTGGTCTCCATAGGGGCTCTGTATGTTAAAAATTAATTTACATCAAGAGTTTTCATGAACTATTACACTTAAAAAAGCCTAATAAAAATACAATAATAAAACTTAAGAACTACATTAAAATCCTAACAATACAATGCAAAATCACATGTAAAGCCTAAGATATAATAAAATATCAGTTATGATAAAAAGAAATGTCTTGCTCGGCGGCAGAATGTTTCTCCTAAATTTTAGGATATTAAGTACCCCTGACAAAAGCAGAATCAATGGTTACTTTTTGGTTAAGTTCTAGAAAAAAATCATATATTGAAGAAAAAGCAAATTCAATGCTGCAGTTGGTTACGTTTAGTAGATCAATGGAGATGCATTAAGTCCGCATATGTTTTTGTTTTGTTTTTTCTTTCCAAATTAATTATCGTGGATGGGCTCAATTTTTAAGGAGCGTGAATAAAAATTAGCAGGTGAAATA